ACGACGACCGGGAGGGCGAAGGCGCGGACAAGTGGGTGAACCGCGGCCGGGGTCGAGGTGCCTTCCCCCGGGGAAGGGGCCGCTTCATGTTCCGGAAGTCGAGCACCAGCCCCAAGTGGGCTCATGACAAATTCAGTGGAGAAGAAGGAGAAATCGAAGATGATGAAAGCGGAACAGAAAACAGAGAGGAAAAGGACAACTTGCAGACGACGACCGAGTAGCCGCAGGGCCCGCGTGTTTCCGAGAGCCCTGGCAGCAGGGAAGGGGTTCGGTGCTGGATTGTCAGGGTGCTCCTGACGTGCTGAGCAGAGCCCTGGAGAGGAGCTCGGAAACAATCCCGACGTTAACTGCATTTCCAGAGTTCAGCCTCCCTTAAGCGTGGACTAGAACTGACCAATCATTTATGCTCGGATCCGCTCATGGAGTTTATCTTCCCAAAGACTTCCCTGCTGGACTGAGTAAGGTCAAGTGCTGGGTGAGATCAGAGATTTTTCTCTCCTCTGTGACCTTATTGACTGGTCGGTTATTTTTTTGGTAACAGGCTTTGAAGGCAACGTGGAGTTTGGTTTGTGCCCATCTTGCCCCGGTAGTCTTGACATTTTTGGTTCTCTTTTATAAATTGCAATGGCTCTGGTTGGGGTTAATTCACCCCTGCAAGGTGTTTTTTTTTTTCCCCCTGTTGTGTATTCAGTTTTTTAAATCCATGCTTTCCTTTAGGCCTTTCTGTAGTAAAATCAATTAAATGATTATTTTGGAAACTCTTTTTGGTTCTTCTCACTAAGAAAACAAGCATGTGAATAAACATCTAAATGTTAACTCCTTGGGACCAAACTCCGATGACTTCTGTTCTTTTTTAAACTTTTTTTTTATGTAACTGTTGAGTTTTAGGGCCTTTAAAAAAAAAAAAAAGAAAAGAAATTGTTTTCCTTTTATGTTGAAAGTTAACAAAATTAGCATGGTTTAAGGAGAAAAAACATGACACCCTACTTCTCACCACTGTTTGTGTACACTGTTAGGCCTGGTGTGTGCTGGAGCCCCAAACCGCTTGTAGGCATTTTGTGTATCCTCTTTGCAGCTGGTTGTGAACTCGAGTGCTCTTTCCAAGGTACCATAGTTTTCTAAGAAACTTTGGAATTCTACTGGGTTAAAAATACAAAAGGAGATGAGAATTTTTTCAATATTTTTTATTAATCTTTTTATATAAAACGGAAAAAAAAAAAGAAGCCCAACCCAGCAGTCCCTCCTGTGCTGGCTGGGGACGGCTGTGGCCGTGGTGTTCTTTCTATCTTCTACTTCCCTGTGCTCTGAAGGAGTTTGCGAGCAGCTCTCGGGCCGAGTGAGTCCCTCGTAGCAGGAGAGGCATGTCCATGCACCCACCCTGCGTGTGCACGTGCTGTAGGCACCGCTCCCTCCCTGCCTTCCCTCCCCATGGATTGCTGTGCTGTTTTCCCCGCGCACACCAACTAGAGTTTGGTTTGTTTTGACTTGACCAGTTCCTGTTTAGCAAAGCCCTCCAGTTTGTTTATGCAAATAAAATACAATAAAAGAAGTAGTAGGTGTAACTCTTTGTTCTGTGTTGTGAGTCTGCGGCTCCTGGCGGCTTCTGTGTTCAGGGGTGAGGCCACAAGAACCAAATGCCCTTGGAGAGCCCTGCTGTGGCTACCAAAGAGCTGCTGGGAGGGGAAGCTTTGAGCTAGCACCATCCTGCAAGAGAAAATGGGCCAGGGAGCAGCCTGGAAGAGGAAGCTCAGCCTGGGGCCTGTGGGGTTCCCCTGCTGTCAGAAAGCAGCGTGTGCAAGTGGTGACTCCTGGTTTCTGTGGGTATCCGTGCAGGGAGTGCAGGTAGAACTGCCCTTGCAGCACAAGCATTGCTTAGGTTCAAAGAGACCTTTCAGATCGTTGAATCCAACCGTTAACTATGTCCTGTCCACCACTCAACCATGTCCGTAAGTGCCACATCTACATGTGTAAATACCTCCAGGGATGGTGACTCAACCCCGGCCCTGGGCACATGGGGTATGTATTCTACCCTTGGCCTCTTGTGCTCTTAAATTAGTGGCTAAAACCAGCTTACTCCTGGCTTTTGAACACTTAACAGAGCTTTTAGCCTGTGGTTGCAGTGATTGCATGGGGGGAAGAGGAGGTGACAGCCACAGCTCCCATGCCTGAGCTCTGCTGCCTGCAGGGACTGTATCACCCCTGAACAGGAGCAACGGCTTCATCCATGCTCTGAAACTGAAGAGCACGGCTGTAGGTGCGTGGTTTCACACCAGCACTAAACCCTGGTTAGGGTAAGTCAGCCGTTGCCTTTGCTGGCAGCGGGCAGGAGATGCTTTGCCATTGCTGCTCCCTCAGAGGGAGATGGGTCCTTGCTGCCGGGGAGCTATGGGTCTTGCTGAGGGTGCAGCCTCCGTGGTGAATGCAGGGGGCTGCCTGCGTGGTAGGGAAGAGTTCCTGCCCGGCGTTGGTCAATGCTGTTGGCCAAGAGCAGTTGAGACAGCGATGTGGGGTAACGGCTCGTGCTTCCCTTCGTGGTTCATGTTCCCCTTCATGTGAATTCGTAGAATCAAGTAGGTTGGAAAAGACCTTTAAGATCATCGAGTCCATCCATTACCCCAGGGCTGCCAAGTCCACCACTAAATCGTGTCACTGAGAGCCTTGTGGATGCTACCACTCAAACCCACGTTCTAGACTATGAAGTCCATGTTACTAAAAGAGGTTGATTCTGTGTAAAACCTGCCTTACTGAACCAGTTCTGATTTAAAGAGTAAGTATGAAAGCAGCAAGACCTGTGTAGTCCATTCTGAAACCTTTAAGCTCAATTTCAGCATATTCGAGCCCTTGAGCCAGCTGGAGAAGGAGCCTGGTGCTGAACCCCCCCACTTCCCAGCTGGAACAGCAGAACCCAGGGATGAGCAGCGTCTGCTCCTCAGCAGAACCCTGCACCGCTGGTGCTGGTCCCCTCGGTGTCAAATACACCCGAGCCAAGGGAGCACTGGTGCTGAGCGCCTGGACCGGGCATGGACCGGGAGCACTGGTACCGACCCTTCTGCGCTCAGCGCAGGGACTCGGCGCGCTCGGGGGTTGTGGTTTCGGCCCCTCTGTGGTTTGGGTTTCACTTCCCCCTGCCCGCCGAGGTGCCGGATGGGACCTGAGGGTGCTCCCAGTCCTGCCCCGCTGCTCCGCTCCCGCAGCCCTGCCCACGGTGCCAGCTCCCGGCGCTGCCGGCACACAGCTCAGGTAGGGATGCGCCGTGCGAGCGATGCTGAGCGCTGGGCACCGTGAGCCGCCTCTGGGCACAGCGCTCAGCACCCGTCCTGCAGCCAGGCCCGGGTGAGGCTCCATTGCCATGGGCTTGGGGGGGCGCCTGGGGAGACCCCCACGAGCTCGGTCCTGCCCTTCCCGCGCAGACCCGGAGCCGCGGCTCTGCCGGGCCCTGTTTGAGCTCAGCCCGGAGCTGCCGGCGGGGCTGCGTCCAGGGGGATGTGATCTGGGTCCTGAGCGAGGGGAGGGCACGCGGGGACAGGGGCACCCCGAGGTGGGTCCCTGGTGCTGGCACCTGCCCTGCAGCACGCAGGGCTCAAGGGCTGCGGGCACGGACAGTGCTGGCACCGGAGAGGGCTCTTCCCTGCAGCCTCGCGGAGCTCCTGCCGCTGCCCACGGTAAGTGAGGGCTGCACCAGGGCCACGCAGGGCTCGTGTGGATGGACCCTGCCTGTGCCTCGGTGGGCTCCACGGTGCCAAAGTCCGGTGCCTGTGGGGCTGTGCCACGGCTCCATCCTCACCCAGCCCCTCTCCATCAGCTGAAGCCATTGATGCCATCCTGGGACTCGGAGTCCATTCAGTCCGGCCAAGGTGGGCACCCAGCCCTGGCGGCCTCAGTGCCCCAGCGGGCAGCCCCACGGCCCGGTGTGAGGTGGGTTGGGGCAGCCCAGGAGCCGGCCGTGCCAGGGGGCAGGAGGAGCCCCGTGGGGAGCGAGGATGCGGCATGGACCGGCACCGAGATGCTCTCGGCTTCGACTTCCTTCCCAGCGTGGTTTCCTCCGGCGTCACGTGCGTGGTGCGGGGCCACAGCAGCCGGGGGAGCCGGGCACAGCACCACGGTGCTCAGCCTCGGGGGCAGCCCCGCACCAGCAGGTAGGATGGAGCCGTGTGGTTATGGGGGTCCCGCGCTCAGTCGCCATCCCAGGGGCAGCAGCAGTGTGGGGCCACACGGTCCTGGGCTGCGCCGCAAGGGCAGCTCTGGGTACCACCAACCTCACACTTCGAGAGCGATGGTGCCCTGGGGCCTGCAGAGCAGCTCCCTGCACCCCTGGGGCCGGGTGCCCTCATCCCTGTCCTCATCCCTCATGGCTGCAGCCATCTCTCTGGGAGGACAAAAAACCCTCTGGCAGTTTTGGTGCCAGCGAGGCCGCCATGGTGAGGGCCCTGCTGGTGGCGGCCGGGACCAGACAGCATCAGGGCTGCTGGTGGCGTTGGGGACAGGGTGGCCCATCACAGGGACAGGATGATTCATGGGCACATACCTGCGGTTGGATGCTCCATATTCTCTGCCAGAGGGTTCCATCCTGTTGGGACCTCAGGGCTTGGTGGCAGAGGGAAGAACGCTGCTGCGCCATAGGGACAGCATCCTGCCTCTGCCGTGCTGCTGGTGCTCTGGGGGAGGTTTGCAGCCGCCTGCTCTGCCACACGCAGAGGAAACACAACCACAGTGGGGCTGGGTGTGGGGCTGGCAGGAGGGGTGGCACACGGTACCGGGGTGATGATGGGGCAGAGCCACCATGGCGCTGTTGGGTACCACTGAGCATCGCTACAGCCATGGAGGGAGCCATGAGCCCAGGAACACCATGGGACCTTGTGTCCCACTGGTCCTGCCTGTGGGTGCCTCCTTCCCCAGCAGGGATGTGGCGAGTCAGGGATGGAGCCCACGTCTGGGGGTGACCCCGAGAGGGGCTGTAAGAAGGGTCCTTCCTGCAGCACCTGAGCCCCTTTTCTCCCTGCAGCCTGGAAGAGAGCAAAGGACGAGGAGGGGGAGCCCCCGGGTGAGTCCTGGGCCAGGGCAGGAGGGAGGGACGGGGATGGGGATGGGGAGGGGGATGGGGATGGGAATGGGGATGGGAATGGGGATGGGGATGGGGATGGGAATGGGGATGGGGATGGGAATGGGGAGGGGGATGGGAATGGGGATGGGGATGGGGAGGGGGATGGGAATGGGGATGGGGATGGGAATGGGGATGGGGATGGGGAGGGGGATGGGAATGGGGATGGGGATGGGGATGGGGATGGGGATGGGCCATGCCTGGGACAGGAGCCCCCTTGCTCTGGGCAGGTCCCGGTACCGGGCCACGGCCATGGCTGCTGCTCCCCCACAGGAAGCGCTTCCTGCCCCGCTCTCACCGCCTGTGCTGCGCGGTGCCAGCCCCGGCCCCAGCCCTGCTCCTGCTTCTCTACCCCAGAGCTCCCAGCACCACTGAGGATGGAGCCGGCCAAGCAGCCCCACAGCAAGAGGATGGCTCCTGCTCCCCCCGTCCCTGGCAAGGCCAAACCAGCCCCCACAGTAGCAAGCAAGTAAGACTCACACGGGTGCTCCGGGGCATCCGGAGCTGACACGATGCTCCCAGCACCGGAGCGGTGCTGATGCAGAACATCCCTGCTTGGTCCATTCTGTGCCACTTCACTGCCTCTGCTGTCCCCAGGCCAGGTGGTCCCCAGCCCAGTGCCTCAGACACAGAGAGGGGCAGAGCCAGTGATCCAGGTAGGAGCTGCAGCCATGTGGGGCCATGCCTTGTGCCAACACCGCGCTGAGCTCTTTGCCATCTCTTTGCCAACTCTTTGCCGTCTCTTTGCCGTCTCTTTGCCATCTCTTTGCCGTCTCTTTGCCGTCTCTTTGCCACCTCTTTGCCGTCTCTTTGCCATCTCTTTGCCACCTCTTTGCCGTCTCTTTGCCGTCTCTCTGCCGTCTCTCTGCCATCTCTTTGTCACCTCTTTGCCAGCTCTTTGCCGTCTCTTTGCCGTCTCTTTGCCGTCTCTTTGCCATCTCTTTGCCACCTCTTTGCCGTCTCTTTGCCGTCTCTCTGCCGTCTCTCTGCCATCTCTTTGTCACCTCTTTGCCAGCTCTTTGCCGTCTCTTTGCCGTCTCTTTGCCGTCTCTTTGCCGTCTCTTTGCCGTCTCTCTGCCGTCTCTCTGCCATCTCTTTGTCACCTCTTTGCCGTCTCTTTGCCGTCTCTTTGCCATCTCTTTGCCGTCTCTTTGCCGTCTCTTTGCCGTCTCTTTGCCATCTCTTTGCCATCTCTTTGCCGTCTCTTTGCCGTCTCTTTGCCATCTCTTTGCCATCTCTTTGCCGTCTCTCTGCCGTCTCTCTGCCATCTCTTTGCCACCTCTTTGCCATCTCTTTGCCTCTTTAGCAGATGCCGATGGCTTCAACGCTGTGCCGGTCACCACGGCCCGGCTCAGCCACCCCACAGCCACCCGCCCGCGGGTGCCGGGCCAGCGGCCGCCCAGCCTCACGCCGGGGGGTCCCTGGGTTGGGGAGCACCCCCCGGGGCCACCGCGCAGCGACGCGGGGGAGGCGCCGGCCCCACCGTGGAGCCCGGAGGTGCCGGTGGCTCCGTGCCCGAAGGAGGCGCTGGCCCTGGGGGACCTGAAGGCGGAGGTGCGGTCCCTGCACATCCTGGTGGACCTGATGCGGACGCAGCACCTGTGAGTGGGGCTGGGGGGGGGCGCTGGGGGGGTCCCCATGGTTCAGCATCACCGGCTCTGGCCCCGCTGAGCCGCCCCTGCTGCGCTGCAGGCGGGACCTGGAGGACCTGAGGCTGGAGCTGGGGCAGGAGCGGGCCAAGCGCCAGGCGCTGCAGGTGAGTCCCGGCGCGGGGCTGCCCGGTGCGGGGTCCCCGTTGCCCCGCGTTGCTCGCAGCATCTCCCCGCAGGCAGAGATCGAGCGGGTGAGGAAGGCGCTGCCCTGCTGAGCACGGCGGGGGCTGCGGGCGCCTCGTGGTGCCGGTGCTGCGCCCGGCTCTGCGCTGGCTGGGGGCAGGATGCTCACCCCGCAGCCCCGCACCGCTTCCTGCGGCACGGCGTGGGCCCGAGGCCGCACAACGGCACTGGGACAGAGTCTGGAATAAACCGCTTTGGGTACAGAGCGCTGGGTACCCACAGAGGGGCTCTGCTATGGGGCTGCCGGGTCCCTATGGGGTGGGCAAAGCTGGGCTGGGGCTGCCAGGCCCAGGATACCCACCACAGCACAAAGATCCCACCATGGAACAGGGGTCCTGTCACAGCACGGGGCTGGGCAGTGCCTCCTCCTCCTCCTTCTCCATCTCCCGCACCATTTCCCATCCCAGCCCCATCACGTCCTGGCCTCCAGCCACCGGCGTGGGGCTGGGAGAACATCTGGAAAACATCTGGATCCTGCTGGCGGGACCGGCCTGGGAAGGAGCTATTTTTACAGGGGGCTGGGGAGGGGGCAGCGGGGCCCCCGGGGGCTGGGATAGCGCCGGGAGCAGGGGGCAGGATGTGACCCAGCCCCGCGGGGAGCAGCCCCACATCCCTGGGGGGGAAACATCCGCCAGGGCCAGGCCCAGGGCGGTGCCGGAAAGGATCCGGGTAATTTTAGTTGGGTCACGGGAAAGGCTTTGGCTTGGGAAGGCGGCGGCTGAACCCCCCCCCCCCCCCCCCCAGCACCACACTGAGCCCCACGGGGGGTAGAACAGCACCATGTTTGTGGGGCAGGACCCCCAAAGCTTACACGGGAACAGCCGGATGTGACCCATGGGGATGGCCAGCGGTGGCCCTGTCCTTGTCCTTGTCCCTGTCCCCGCGGGTCCCGGTGCCCGCAGTCGTACCAATGGCTCAAAGTGCATGGACGGGGGGGGGAGGCCTCCAACGCCGGGGCAGGGAGCAGCCCCCCCTCGCCCTCCTGGGTGACTCCCGGGGTCAGTAGTAGTGGACGCGGCCCAGGGTGCCGGTGCCCAGGAGGTCGGGCTGCCCGTTGCGCCAGATCTCGCGGATGATGCGCTCCCGCTCCTCCAGCCGCTGCGCCTGCTCCAGCTCCTCCGCGGACGTGAACACGTTGACGGCCGCAGCCCCGTCCCCGGGGCCGTGGGGCTCCAGAGGGATCTCGGTCACCGGCAGCAGCGACTCGGACGCCGCGCGGTCAACGGTGTCCTCCTCCTCATCATCATCGTCGTCTTCATCTTCATCCTCGTCCTCATCGCTGAGGTGCTTGGGGCGGCGCGGGGGGGGCCCGCAGGACAGGCGCAGCACCAGCAGGCACAGGGTGAGCACCAGCCCGAAGCAGACGCCCAGCACGAAGTAGAGCCCGAAGCTCTCCGGGTTGGCTGTAGGGAGAGCAGAGGGGATGAGGGACTGGTCCAGGATGGCCCCGGTGCCCCCAGGACGTGTCCGTGCTGGGCCCGGGCTCACCTCGGATGTGTGCGTACGCGGCCATGCTGTTGCTCAGCAGCTCCATGTCCCGCCGGCGGCTCTCCATCCTGTGCCCGGGCTCTCAGCGTCTCAGGGGATGGCGCTTGCTCGGCATCTGCGGACACAGGGGCTGAGCGGGCGCCGCTGGGGATCCCCCCGAGGTCCTTGTCCCGCTCAGGACCATGCCAGGGTGTGACCATGCCCCAAGGGACCCCGTTGAGCATCACCCAGGGGCGGGTGCCGGGTCCAGGCTGCTCCATCCAAGGCTGCGCCCCAGAGGTGCCAAACCGGAGCCGTCCCGTTCTGCTGCGCCAGGGAGGATGCGGCTCCCCCGGGACACGCGGATCTGGGGGCCGGGGCCAGGCTTTGCATCCCCTGCCCACGGGCACAGGACACAGGGCTGAGCTCTCGGGGTCCCAGCGCATCCCCTGTGCCACGGGGCACCCATCGCAGCGCACTGGGGGCTGCTGCGGCCCCCAAGGCGCGGGGCAGGGCAGGAGCTGAAGCAGCCCCAGCCCGGGCCGGGCCGAGCTCAGTTCCCAGAAACGCTCCTCGAGGGAGGAACGAGGAAAGCAGGGCAGGAGCTGACACATCAGCAGCGCCGGCCCCGAGCCGCGGGGCCGCTCCCAGCCGGGCCGGGCAGCCCAGGGCCCAGCAGCGGCATCCCCAGGGGGTCCGGGTGCCCTCCCCATGGGGCAGTTTCGCCTCCAGTCCCTGCCCCTGCATTGGGGCCCGCCGTGGGGCTGGAGGGGCAGAGCCCCGCCGTGGGGCTCCCCCAGAGCCCCTCCAGGGGGCAGAGCTGGCCCTAGGGCCATGGGGTGCCCGTGGCCACAGGCCGGGGGTGGTGTCCTCGGCTGTGGCCGGCAGAGGGTGTGAGGGAAGCCGGGGACAGGCGGCCGGAGCTGGGCAGGAGAGCGCCGGGATCCCCCCCCGGAGCCTGCTCCGGATCCCTGGAACGGGATCTGGCCGTGGGCACAGCCCCAGAGCGCCCAGCCCTGAGTCCCCAAGCCCCGAGCCCTGCGTCCCTGAGCCCTGCGCTCCCCAAGCCCCCACCGCTGCATCCCCAGCCCCGAGCCCTGCGCCCTCAGCCCCGTGTCCCCGGGCCCCCCTTTCCGCACCCCAACCCCGGAGCACCTCGAGCCAGGGTCAGGGCAGAGCCGGGACACCCGGAGCTGGCGCTGGGATCCCTCGGGGCTCCCCATCCGCCCCTCGCCGGGGCCGGTACTCACCGGAGCGCGCTGCGGAGAGGGAGGAGGGAGCGGGGTCTGCTCCGCGTTAACGCCGCAGCAACAGGAAATGGTTCGGAGGCTGCTGGCGGTCAGCGCTCCCCGCCGGAGCCAATGGCAGCCCCGGCCCGGGATCCGGGAGCGTCCCGCTCCCCCGGGACACCGCGCTCGGAGCCGCCCCGGAGCAGGGCTGCGGGAGGGAAGCGCCAAACCCATCCCGGCAGGGGCCGGAGCCCAGGGAGGCGGGGGACAGGCAGGGGCTCCGCTGTGGCCGGGCTGGACTTGGTCCTAAAGGTCTTTTACAGCCTCGCTGATGCTGGGCTGGAGCATCCCGGGGCCATGGGAGCAGAGGTCAAGGGCTCTACCCCACTCGTGTCAGCCTTGGACACAGCCGAGCTGGTGGGGCTGCGTCCCAGCGGCTACACTGGGTGCAGCCCCAGAGCCAAGCAAAGGGTGCAGGGGTCCCCATGGGCCCACTCTGACCTGTGCTGCTGCAGCCCCTACACCCCAGTCCCAACCCGTGTCCCCCCCTTCCCCGGTCCCCACGGGCGCTCAGGGCTCAGGTCTGAAGTTTTATTGCCGCCATGCAGGGGTCGGTTCGATGTTGTACAAAAATAACGTCTTTATACAAAGAGCTTTTCCTCTATTTTTTTTTTCTCTCTTTTTTTAACTCTTACAACAGGCTCCGGCCCCCCCGTGGCCCCTTCACCCCCCCCCAGCCCCTCCTGCCTCCTCTCTTCCAGTTCAATACATGCGAGTTACCACTGACCAGTGCGCAGGAACACCGGGCATGGTTCAGCTTTGCAGAGCCCCAATATTGCTTTAACTTTGGGGAAAAACCCAACAAGAACACTAGAGGTGGGAGCGGGACGGGAGAAACCAGATGGAGAGAGCAGGACCCCAAGGGGGGAGGCCCTGCGCTGCTGCTGGTGGCACGGGGGGGGTGGTGATGGGCACCCATTGGGGTGTGCTGGGCCAGACCCACCGGTACAATAAATAAGGCTAAGACTTGAGGCTACTGGCTCAGCTGGCCGGGGCTGGGGCCACTGGTGGAGTCTGGATTAGTGTTCACGAGTCCCTGCCCGGCCGCTGCCGCGTGGCTCCGGCCAGGGCGCAGGCAGGATGCAATGCCCGATGCTGCCAAGGAGGTTCAGGTCAATCCCTCTATCCCCACAAGGACACCTGGAGCTGGCCCAGGCTTAGACACAGTCCCCGTCGCCAGCCTGGGGCAAGAGAAGGCAACGACACGCTACAAAGAGATCTGCTACTCGCTCCCCGCTGGAGCTGGCCCCACAGAGCAGGGTCAGCCCCACAGCCGAGGCCAAAGAGGCTTTTTCCCCCCCTGTGCTCACACAGGTCCTGGTGCTGGGGGTGATGCTGGAGCTGGGAACAGGCAGGAGCAGGGGCTGGAGGCAGCCAGGGAAGCGCTGCCTTGGGCGAGGAGCCCTGGCTGGGGCGCTGCGAGGGCCTGGGTGTGAGAACAGGTTGTCTGGCAAGACAGGCATCCAGTTCACAAAATGAGGCTCAGAAACAATCGCTCCTGTTCTCAGCACGGGCCCACGCTCTTCCAGTGGCATTAGGTGACAAACCGGGACATCCTTCTCCCGCCTCAGCGCCGCGCGCGGTGCGTGGTGAGGCTGGGATGGCAAGATGAGCTGGGGAACGAATACAGCAGAGACCTCAGCCAGCCCCTTCCTAATTCTAGGCAGATTATTTTGGGAAGCTTTTTCACATTATAACTCATATATTATATCTGTACCACAACTGAAGTGTGAAAACGCTAAAATCAGAATTAATGCAATTTTAACTGCACCTTAGGTAAGCTACTGAAAAATAAGATTAAATCAGATAACCCTTACGAAACTAAAGAATCAGTGAAAGGGGGGAAAGGGGCCACGGCCGGCCAAGTCCTGGGGAACCTCTGAACTGAGGACAAGAGCCGATCTTTGCCTCGTGCCCGAGGCAGCCCTGGTGACACCAGGGAACACGAAGGCCTTGGCGTGGTGCAGGGTGAGACAACACGGCCAAGGCAGGTGGCACGTTGGGGACAGGAGAGAGATTTGATGCAGACGAAGGGGAGGGGGAGGTTCCAAGGAGTTCTGCCTCTCGAGAAACCCCGGTAAATCTAAGCTTATTCAAACCATACGGAGCGAACGCCAACGAGCCGACTCTCCGCGCCGCGCAGCCGCGACTTGGGCCGGCAAACCAGCTTCACCCTCGGGCGTCTTCTCCTTTCCCCCAGGCTTTGCTCGATCCAGAGAACAGCATGGTTAAAAAGACAAGAGAGGTAGATTACAGTCATGATTAAAAGCAGATTAGTCATCTAGGCTTCGATTTAAAAAAACAAGATTCCAGAAGATGCCAAGAGGTTGCTGCTTCCAAAACTAGCTTTGCCCAAAAGTCTTCTCCCTCCAGAGTGAGTGTGAGTGCGTGTCCCTGAACAGAGCTCAGAAGAATTGCTACATTACTCTCCATCACGGGACACGGGTATTGCTGTTGAGCTGTAGTAGGCGACGTGAAAGGCAGACTGCAGGATGGTGCTTGTGCTCTCGGACGGGCGGGGAGCTACTTCCGAAGGTACCTCTGGGCCAGGATCGCTGCGTCCAAAGGGTTCATGGGCTGAGCATCGTGGCCCAGGCGTCGCACTGGGGGGATGTTCCCAAACTGCCGCTTCTGGAGGAAGCTCTTGGCCTCGTGCAACGTGTTCTTCTCCTCAGCCAAGAGCAGCTGCTGCCTCATGTAGTTCTCGAACTCGTACTGCGAGCACTCCTCCGTCACCTTCACCTGCCGGAGAGCCACGGTCAGAGCCACGGCAATGGGCCCACGACTCCCCTCCGATGGCCCTGAGCCACCACGCGACAACTGGAGTCAATGCAAGAGCAGGCCCTGGTGCCTCACACACAGTCACTGGTGCCACCAGAGGTTTGGGAACAGCTCATCCCAACCCTGCCGGCCGTTCAGAGGCTGCAGCTGCCTGACCCCAGTGCTCGCATCCCCCCGAGCCCAGCGGAGGGACTGCTGATGGCAACCCTGCAGCATCAGAGGCAAAAGCTCCTCCAAGGCTGTCCCCAGGCACTGAGGTCACCAGAGCTGTCACTTCCAGCAGAAAACATGCTGGAAGGAAAGCAGGATGTTTGCTCCCATCTCGGAGCTCAGCAGGGAGCCTGAGCCAACCCTGCTGCCTCTTCCCAGCTCTCCCTGCACATTTGAGCTCTCAGCTGCGTGTGAGGAAGTGAGTGCTGCTTGGAGAGGAGCAAACTGCCCCTCAACCAGCTCTGGTGCCAGCGAGCTCGCTGCCAGGCAGCACGGATGTGACTCCTGGCCCCAGCACCATGAGCCTTTCCTTCCACTGCACAAGGTGGTGCTGGACTCAGCTGCCTCACAGAGCAGCAGTCACAGCTGGGTCCTCACCCCCTCACCACAGCTCACGGGCCACACGGTGCTGCCATCTCTTTCCATTACAGACAGACTTGGCACAGTGGCACGGAAAAGCACTGCCACGGAAAGGGAAAGAGGAAAACCCACCTCTTGAGGGTTCTCTGGGTTAGCCACTTGGTCGTCGATGTCTGGCACCACTTGCAAAGGGCCGCTCAGCGAGGACATTGACTGCCTGGGGGGAGAGCACAGTGTCAGGGATTTGGAGTATGGAACCCAACACCCCAGCCAGGGCAATCCCTCCTGGCTGCCCCAGAGCCGGACACCAGTGTGGCACAGCCCTGCCTGGCTGCCACACCAGCTACTGCTACTGAAGGGTGCTATCCAAAATTCAGTTTCCCTGGAAGAAAATCGTATTCCAAACCCCAGAACTGCCCCCCACTCCCCTTTACTGCTTTGTTTTAAACAGGATGTGGAATTCTAAGTCTTGCATAGGTAGGAGAGAAACCAGCCACAGCTCCAAAAATCACAGACTTCACTTGCTGACTCAACAGGCAGCGCAAGAACTTTGCCTGGGCATGCTGTGCAGCACAGACAGGAGGTCACAGGGCTGACAAGGGAGTACTGCACCAAGCAAACACCACCAGGATCGATTTATGCTGGAGTGTGCTACTGGAATCCCATCCTGGTTGGTCCGTGCCAGTTCTGCAGTCAGATTTACCCTCAAAAGCATCCCCTGCTGCACGTGTAGTGTTCCCACCTGTAATGGCATCTCCTGCTCTTCCACTCTGGATACCTCATGCTTGCTTGTACTTAGCAGAGAAGACAGTACTAATTACTTGCAGGAAGTGTGTGCATTTGGCTGCATCTGTTTCTACATGGAAGTTATCCCTGACCATTACACTTCCTTTAAAACATCAGATCTGGGGAGCACAAGGGGGGCCCAGCACCAAAAGCCCTCCTGTATCCCAGCACTTCTCCGTAGTGCTACTGCTTTACAGACTCCAGCCTTGGTCACAGTGGCAAGCATTTGTACAGGCCACTCCGGACACCAGTGGTTGAGACACAAGATCTAAAGGCTTCCTTTGCAGTTCTCACAGCCTCTCCTCTGGTGTCCTGCTTGGCAGCAGTCTGCTGGCCACAGCTGCAATAACACAGCCTGTGGCCAGAGACACCATGTTCCTGCCTCCCTGCTCTAGCACATACCACGATGCTATGATGGAGCTGAGGGAATCCAGCACTTCAGAAGCTGTCAGACGCTGCTGCGGATCCAAGACCAGCAGCTTTCGGATCAAGCACACAGTGTTTTCTGAGACCCGTCCGTCCCTGCAAGACAGAACCCATGAGGAGCCTGAGTGCCCCACAGGGGCAGAGGCAGCAGGAGCTGAGAGCACAGCTAAAAGAGCCTCCAGCACTCTGACCAACGGATCCCAGGATTAACCAGGAGGTTGATTCCCTCTCCCTGCACCACACAGAGCCTTCCTCACCATTGCATGAGATGTCCCAGGCTCCTTGGTGTCTACTGCATGCAGTCTGTTCTCATCACTGCTGTGACCCTCAGGGGTTTGAGCGAAGCCCCCACCAGCTCTGGCTGTCCCAGTCAGGCCCAGAGCACCTCCTGCACGGGGACCAGGGGAAGGGCTCCCCGGGCCAGGCTGTACTCACTCAGGGATGTTGTACTCGGCAGCCTTGATTTTGCGGAAGAGCTCCTGAGGTATGCTGTCGTAGAAGGGGAACTGGCCATAGAGCATGGTGAAGAGCACCACTCCCAAAGCCCACATGTCGCTGGGTTTTCCACGGTATGGCCGTCCTGCAGGGAGCAAGGAGACACAGAGCAAGAGGCTTTACAACGCTGCTCACATCTGAGGCCCTCCACCACCAGCAAAGGCTCTCAAGTGACCTCTCGTGGTCCTTTTCTCTAAGCATTCACCAAAACGCTCAAGAACTCCTATTACAACACACCAAGAAACTCTTCCAAAGGTGCATCCTTTGGGAAACAGCAAATTGTTCATCTCCACACGGGTCTCTTTTCCCTTTCCAGACAGAGCAGGGCTATTCCTGCTGTATCCAAGAGCTTCAAGTAATCGGAGCCGGCACAGTACACAGAGGAATTCCCACTTCACTCCCCCTCACCATCCCTGCAGACTGTCACTGCCAGGAGCCCCTGAGGCTCCACAGATGCATCCTGATGAGAGTCTGGGTCCAAGGAGAAGGGAGTTTAAGAGGCAGCGAGTACAAGGCAAGGCGAGGCAGGAAAGAAAGCCCAAGGACAAGTGGACTTCTGGTGAAGAGCAGTCCAAGACGAATGCCAGCATCACTGCACGGGAGGCTGGTGTGAAGTGCAGACTGAGACCCCCTGATTGAGCCCATCGAGGTGAGACTGCCTCTGGGATGGATCCAGCAAGTGGCCACTGGAGCCTGCTGTGGAGCCATGGAGAGTGCAGGAAGCTGCCTCCTCCAGAGGCATTCCCAAAAGCTGCTGCAGCCCCAGCACACCCTGGGGTTCACTCAATGGAAACACTGGTTTAAAACCCCTCCAATCACACCGCAAGCCAGCGAATGGCAGCATGCACAAGGGTCAGAAACTGAACTCCAGTGCTGTGCCACAGCACAGGACTGAGGGAATGACTTCCTCTGACTCACGCAGTGAGTCACTGCTGCAGCATTTGTTATTTGTACTAATTATTCTTTGCTTTATATGCTCAAAAAAAGGCACCTCTCCCTCCTCCTCCAGCTTTTCCTGCTGTAACATTTCAGCAGCCACAGAATGCAAACCATCTCTTAGCAGGAGACAGATTCTCTTGGAGACTTCAAACAATGATTAATTCTTCAGGCGTTTTAGCTTCCTCTTGCACAGAAGCATTAGCAATAGAAACAGAGGGTTTCAGAGTCTGAAGGTGGTGGTGAAGCCTGGAATGTCCTCAAGTTAACTCTTCCCTCAGTGCTTGGAGGAGATCTGCAGACTGAGCCATTCTGGAACAATGTTTGCAAGAGCAGAGGATCTGGCTGCACAGATCCTCAGGCCAGGTGGTGCTGGAGCAGGATGCAGTCCTGTAACTAAGGCTGTACCATGCAGGGTCTTGAACAGCCTCGGCTGTGAGAGAAGTCAGCAAAGAGCCTGCTCAGTTCCTTGTGCTTCATGGCCCACAGACAGGCCAGCCAACCCACCAACAGGAGAGCTGTGAGAACAAAGTGGGTGATTGCAGGCAAGCTGTGCTGGCAGGGGCGATGGAAGGGACGAAGTCCAGGACAGAAGAGTACCCTGGATGAGCAGGAAGGAGCAGCCTTTACCAGACACCAGCCACATGAGCTGCAAGTGCTCCAAGCTCCTGTGGAGCAGTTGGCTCGTGTCATCCATCTGCTTAGAGGGGCCTCAGGATATCCTGCAGAACAGGAAAGGCCTGCAAAAAGCACACGTTCCACATCCCTGCCTGCCTCTGCTCCCTTCCTGGCTCGGTCCTGCCCAGGAGGGAAGCAGCTTCAGACCTGCCTGGCAGATGAGGACGGAAGAGCTCAGCAATGTTTGGTGCTGCTGCCTGTAAATCTGACAACAAACTTACAGAGGGGAGTCCACTGGGTGTGGAGATTTCAGGACTACCTCCCTCCGAGGGCAATTCTGAACTACAAGAGCCTGGGATACCAGAAATGAACAGCTCAAGTCTTCAGAGGGTTTTCAGTATTCCAGATGTCATCCTTGCATAGATAAATGCACTGGCAAGGATTCTTTCACTTCACTGGTAAGGGCTTTCACACTCTATGCACACCAGTGGGTGCTGCCCAATGCACTGCTTGTCCAGAAAGCAGTTGATGCTGATAAGCTACTGTCCAGAGTTTCAGGCATCATCCAAACACAAGCTCGGCACTTGGGATGGATAACCCTTGGTGGGATGCATTGGAGGCGATTTTGGACTGCAATGTGTGGTCCAGCTTCATCCAAAGGGAATTTTATCTGAACAATATGAGACAATGCACCATAACTGAAGTGTACAGAGATGCTTTATAGGCACAGCCCCAGCTGTAAATACACCCTTCAACACTAGTCCAGCTCACCTGGATGAGAAGAAACTTCCCCTCAGTCACTACACTGACAAACAGCACCACCACTCAGCTACTATCAGCACAAGAGCTATTACAGTAGCAGACCTTAAAGCCTTAAAGCTCATGCAAAAGAAACCTCCTGAAGCAATTAACAGACAAGGAACCACATCTGTTTCTGAAAGTCCCCTGCACCAGTTAAAAGGTGGGAGGACATTAGGGAAAGCTGTTCTTTGCCAGACTCCTGCTTAAGGCATCTGCTGGAGACAAGACATAGCCCAGACTGCTGGAGACAAGACACAGCCCAAACAGAGCTGCTGGGTTGGCCTGGTGGCATCATCCCTTTAAGTGACTCCTTTCCATTGGGTCAATAGTTCCCTCTGGGAACAAGCAGCAGCTGCAGCAACTGCTCCTCTTAGTGCAAGGCCTGAAATAAGCTGACATTGTGGTGGGATTTGGACCGAATGCCTCTTAGGCCCAGGGATTTACCTTGCAGCTTAAGCAAAGCCTCAGGAACAAGACTGAGACGTGGGAAACAGAACATCTTGTCTGCAGTCAGGCTTAGGAGCAGGCAGGGAGCTTCTCATTAGCTTTGAAGCTCAGACTAGCCTTAAGAAAGAAGTTGCACTCGCTCCTTCCCTCCGTATATTTTCCCAGTTGGAAAAACAGAGCAAGTCTCATAACTGGACCCCAATTAAGAGGCTCTCACAGGAGGCAGGTTACGTATGGGAACAGAACTAGGGTTTTTTATTGTCAAGAGTCACAAATAAGTGAAACGAGTGTGAAGTGTGGGGCTGAGGGCATTGCCTACCACTGAGCACGTCTGGGCTGATGTAGGCAGGGCTCCCTCGCTGGTCCTTCAGCAGGTCATCCTCACTCACCAGGTGCTTCCCGAGACAGAAGTTTGTTATGGTTATTCGATGAGTCCTGTGGAGAATCAGAAAGCATCAGTGAACAAGGAGCATCCTGCACAAGCCAAACTGCACAGAGGAGTGTGCCTATGGGGCTTCTGAGGAAGCTTGAAGCCCTGGGAAAAGGCAAGGGGAGCTGCAAGATCAACTCCATCCCAAAGGGGAGGGATTCCACACTGATCCACATGGCCTGCAAGGGGGAATAAGAATCTCTTCTACAGCTACAGACAATGTCTACATCCAATCTGAGTGGCATGTGGCTGTAAGCACAGGGTGCTCCTGTAACTTGTTCACCTTGCAGCCATGCAACTGCCCTTTGGGCAGCCTCCACACTACCCTGCAGGCAACCCCAGCACCAGGACCTGCACTTGTGTGCTTGCTGACCACTGCAGGGCAAGAGTGTTAAAGGAGAACTTTAACTGCTGTTTCTCTCCTATGCTTACCAACCACCTCTAAAAGCATCTTCTCCACACAACGCCTTCCGGGAGCCGAGGGAAAATCCCCTAAAGGACTACCCAAGCCTGGCCTCCACACATCCTTTGCTGATGTGTCACCAGCAGATGAGCTACAGGACCTCTGATCAGATAGAGCACAACCACTTCTGTTACCCAACAGTCCCGCAGCAGGACTGTGGTGGCTGTTTTACCTGATCTGCAGGACCGTTCTTCACACCCAAGTATGCAGAACAGAGAAAGTCTCATCAACACCCAAAAAACCTCCTACAGAAAAGGTGAGAACTGCAGGTACACACAATGTCTCTATTAAGATACCCCTGCTTCCCTAAGGTACTGCCAGCACCAGTTAATCAACGTGAGCTCATTACAAAACTACTATTACATCTTCCATGTCACTCAGATAATTTGGGTTTTTATGTACAGCTGAAAGGACTCGGTAGCAAAACACTGTCTGGAAGATTTCTAGACTCTTCAGAAGTTGAATAACACAACTAGAGCCTGAGAGAATGAATTAAATCCAGTCACAATAACGAAGAAGTATTTCCAGCAAGTCTACCAGACACCAAGTGTGGGCTGGCAGGGGAGAGCTGATTATTAAGACAGACTTGTGTTTAAGAAGTGTTAGTTTCAACTGTCAAGAGACTTCCCTGGCTGAATAACAACCTGCAGGATTTAAAAGACAGTGTTCTAAAGGACACCAAAACGTTCAGGGCTGTTTGGTTGTATTTAGCCACTGAAATTTGAGCTAATCTGTAACCATCCAAGTGGCTAATGGCAAAACCTGCGAGGCTTTCACATCCCCATCCTGTGGGTGACAATGAATGAGGGACTTTCATTAGCCCAGGGTGTAACTGGCCTGGTTTGGATGTTGCAGTGATCTGTAGCTACCTTCCTCCCCCACCAAGGGGAAAGACCTGCCTCTGTTGTGAGCACGGCTGGAACAGAACAAACACTTCTGATCAGCCCAAATGGCTGGTCCTCTCCATGGTGATCTATTCTTACGCCTCACCCACCCTTTCTTATGACTCACTGCTGTAGAGGCTACAGTTTTCCTCACCAGAGCTGATGGTCTTGCTAGTAAAAAGCCAAAATACAGTATGCAATAATAAGAGAATGACTTTGAAAGTGTGTTCACAAAGCTTCGAATCCCTCCCCCTTCCTGGTAGCGAGGGCCCTGTGTGCAGCTCTCAGTGGGATGGATGCTCCACTGCACCCTTTGCCTAGAAAAGAAGGGAAACCTCTTTTGTCTGCCTCTGCCTAGCAAGGAGAATCAAAGCAGCAAGCAGCAGATAACAAATGTACCTTAAAGCAGCTCTACAGGAACAAAACTAGTTACAGGTGGCCCTGAGAAGCATTAGATGCTCTGCGTGCGTGTGTGTGTGTGGAACCAAGAAGTTCACTCTCAGTAGATAAAATGTTTGCTTTCAAACAGCAGTAGAAAGAAGAAAGAAGCAGGCTGTGAGCACAGTGAACCTGCATGCTTTGTACAGACTCTGGAAGGCTGCAGACCTACAGCCTTCCAGCTTTTCAGTCGTTCCACAAACCCAGACAGGGTGAAAAGACAACGAATTCCACTCATTCCTAAAGTTAGTGCAAAATATTTAGGCAGTAATGTAATACTGAAGGACACAGCGGAGTATCTGAAATGGGACTTGCCAACTAAATCACTGCATAACCCAAGAGAAGTAAAAAATTCCAAGGAGCCACCGAGCAAAGCATCTGCTACCACCACACCTCTCACTCGTGTTAAACTCCTGCCCCACTGGGCTGCTCCCTCCTGTGCCTGCGCAGCATCCAGGACACCAGTGCGTTAGAAACTGGGGCGTGCATGGAACCCACTACTAGGAACAAGGAAGCTATTTCAAGCACAAATACAGACGGGACAGAAGCACTTTTGTTTAGATAAGTAAATATTTTCCTGCTAGCAAAAACACAGCAGTGCAAGAGTCAAAGATCGAACACTGCTGTGATTATAGTACAGGCTGCAGCGGTGGGAATTCCTTTAGCATGATGGAAAGTGAACTCTGGGAACAGAACCACTTACCACATTCTGATTTGTTTTCACAAGGATAAAATCTCTCTTGCAGATTTCTGCATAAAGTTTAGTTTTCAGAAGCTAGAATCCTCAAAGAAGTGCTGACACGGGGTCACTAAGCTCGCTGGAAGAGCGAACTATCCTGGTTGGGCTCAATTCAGTTTTGGAGATGAGCTCCTGTAACACTGACCTGGATTTCAGCTTGCTTCCCTTTCCCTCACCTTTCACATGCGAGCACTCAAGTGCTGCCTTTGTGTTTGTAAGAAACAAAAGTAGCATAGGGCAACTGCCAGCTCTGCAGACTTACCTTTTGTTTAGCACCATGTTTCCTAGTTTCAAGTCTCTGTGCACAATATTTTTCTGTAAAATACGTAACAGCACAACATGAGCAAACCCATATTTGTTAGAGAAGTACAAATTCAATACCTGACAAAAGCACTCAGTATCCTTTGAAATCATGTCATCTTCACTCTCAGAAATAACCCCCATCAAGGTTCCAAGTCAGGCTGCATCCCAGGTGCTTTGTGCACTTCCTTTTGGATTCTGCTTGGACCAACAGAACAAGCAAATCTGCTGCTCTGAACGCAAGGACAGACTAGACTGCAACCAAGAGACCTGGAACTGAAGTGTCCAGGCTTAGTAAGAGCAATACCATGAGCATTCCCTCAGACGACACGTGCTTCACGGCTCTGCCAAGGAAGGATGGGTGTCCCTTCTCGGAGGGTAAGGAGTCAAACAGCAGCAGAGCCTGTTTTTGCTACAGTAGTTTCTAGTTCATTGATCTCATTCTGCCCTCAGAAATCAATTCTTCCATTATGATTTATTTTGCTTCAAAAGGAAATAGCTTGAAGTGCTTCCTGCATTTGATTAGCCTCTGCTCTTCTCGTTGACCACCCCTTTCTGAGGTTAACAGCACTGTAGGTCACCCGCTCTGCATTTAGTCCAGCTGGCCCCTCTCCACTGTCAACACATGCTGTATTATCATCCAGCAACTTGAAGGGAGGGGAAGGGAACGCTCTTTTATGGCTTGGGGCATGAGGTCTTTACGCAGAACACTCTTAGAGGGAAACAGCTGAAACATCCATCCCCTGTAACCTCACCACTGCCCACACCAGGAAGTTTTACAACGTCTATTATACTAAGGTGGGAAAGCACAAGGGATAACAAAGACCTTACCTTATGTAATGCTTCTACCACTCGTACCACATCATAAAATATCACTACCGTCTCCCGCTCACTGAGTCTCTTCTCTTTAATGACATAATGCTGCAGATTGATCAGATCTGCTGTTTTGTCACTGAAATCATGGGCACAGAGACAGTCTAACACGAGACAAATGCGCTTCTTCATTTTCCTGACCATTCTGTTTGCTTCTAGATCTTCTATGATTTCACAAGCTCGGTCCTAAGTGAGGCAAACACATGAGCAATAGTTCAGGGAAGCTCTCTGGGATTATGTACTTACATACAGAGCACTGGAGAATCAGTAACTACGTGGTGATCTCAAAACAAGCAAATGCAATCATAGTGCTAGATCTTTGCCCGAGTTGGGATTTCAAAGAGAAGATACATGATCTCTGCTTAAAACAGATAGAGAAACTCTGGCTGGCTTCTGTCAGCAATGATACTGTTTATACACACAGAGAGCTTTTGATAAGACCTAGAATAACTGTATATTGGTGCACACTCTGAATACCAGGGATCCAACATGTTAGTAATGAGAACAGGAATCTTAAAGACAGGAATTAGCAGTTCTTCCATAACATGAAGCAGGACACAGCAGAGTTGGACATTTGGCTTATTAAAGTTATGGTACAGATGACCTCAAGTGAAAAGTGTGTCGATAAGATTTAAACAGCAAGCACATGACTGCTACTGCTGAACCCAGGACACACGGCAACACCAACATCCAAACCAGTAACCCCTAGCAGCCCATCGCATCCATAAACAGCTCTGAAGGTATTATCAGCAACACAGTTCACTCACACAACACCCTGATGGGCACACTGACTAGTTTAACTTGATGAAACAGTTTCTTGGCAGTTTGTCCCCTCTTCCAAGTCATCATAAGCCAGTACAAAAAAGCACAAACTGAGTTCCAAAGGGTGCTCTGTGGGCACAGATTAATTTGCCAGTGAAGCAGCTATTGTCCTCTTTGAAGGGGATGCTCCTGAGCATCTGCCCCATCTTTAAATGCCCTCACATTTCCCAAATCCCAAACCCTGTTACATCCCATTTAACTCTCAAAAGCCCCTTCCACCCACTTGTTTGAAGCAGCAGTGGTTAACCTCAGTGTGCGCTGGTAATTCTTTACACGCAAGAATGGGGTCAGCACGAACTGTACATTAAACAAAAGCAACTCAAGCCTAAAGCAATCACTGGCATTCCCCCAACGTGGATGGTGACCAGCTGTACCTGAAAGAGCCCATGGTGATGAACCACTCCTTCCTGGTTATGGAGCAGGGAAAGGAGAGAATACTCCGTGTGCAGCAGCATCTTCCCCTGTCGCTCCTCCTGGGTTTCTATTCCTTTATCACCCCTTTCTTCTAAAGTGAGAATCTTCAGGAAAAGGGAAAAGACCTTTACAGTTCCCAGAAAAACCCAAATGCCCCCAAACCACTCTCATTTTAGGTATTCCCATGTGTTTAACAGCTGATGCAATTGCTCTCATGTTCGCATACTGGCCGCACAATGTCTGAACTAACATCTGTGCAGAATGCACAGCACGAGCTCGATTTGAGGGGCTGGCACTAGATGATCTAAGGTCCCTGCCAACCCATCCCGTTCCATGATTCTATGATTTAACACAGAGAAGCAGTGCAGATGCTCTTTGCAAATATCCCAGGTGATTTTTACTCCCCATTGGAGTCACTCCCACTTCAGGCCAGTGGAGCAGATCAGAGGAGAGCAGCACAGCAGCCACAGAGGCCTCACCTCAGGGCTAATCTTGACACCAGATCTAAGCTTGGCAGAACTGCAGCCGTTTCTGACAGCACCCTGGTGCAGCCTATACCACACACCACTGCAAGTGCTCCTGCTGAAGAAGCTGAAGAGCCCAAAAGGTCTGGCACCCCCCCGTTTGCTTACCTTCAGCTGATAAAAGTCATCTGTCCCATCCTTTCTTGCCAAACACTGAACAATACTTGGCACAGGGGAGTTACCTAAACGTGGACCTAACAGCACAAAGCAAAAACAGACTTGTTTTCCTTTAAGCAGCAATGACTAATTCAGGGTTACATCAGTAGGCAAGTGTCACGCACTTTAGGTTACTTTAAGTTCCTTTTTCTTTCCCCAGAGATTAAGCACATTTCCACAAATCACTGTCTGAAGAAAAGAAACTGAACTCAGAGCTTTTTGCACAAGGTTTCATTTGTTCACTGGAGAAACACTGAAACAGAGCCCACACAGGGCAGAGCTGCTTTCAGAAATTCAAATTTCTGCATGCCTGAACCATAAGGCTTCCCCATTTACCAGCAACACCCATGGCAACTGCTGTTACCACACCTCTGAACCCAACTGCCACCTCTGCACGGGGCGTAGATTATCCCAACTTCAGGTTAACACTTTTCAGTCTAGATCAATCAGCTTCCAGTTGATTATCCATTGGTTTCCATTGTGAAGTCCATCAGGGTTTTCACAGTTTATACAACTTCTTCTAGCAGCTCTTAAAGGCTAGCAGAGTGGCCTGGCCTTGGCACACACCACTTATAAGGACCACCAGAGCATTATTAAGACGCCCACATGCTGATCTGACAGCACATTGCAGGCAAGCAGGGTCAAACATCTCCCTGGAGCTCTAATCAAAAAGCTCCCTCAATGAATTTACTGACAAAGTTTAAAGCCATGCCTGCCCTGTGGTATTCATATTACAGATCTCAGCCTGACCAGAGCTGCAGAAGCTCCAAGGGCTGCTGCTCTTCTCCATCAAGGGAACTGTACTCTAAGATGCTACATTCTGCATCTGCTTTGCCTCGTTTTATAGTGCCTTTATCATCAGCCTTGCAATCAGTAGCTACACTGACGAACCACCTCCCCTCCCTGCTTACCTAGTATAAAAGGGCCCGCTCTCTTGGCATTATTTCCAGAAATCCCTGTACAAAGAGCTTTTGCCTTAGTGGATGTTTCCCCAGCTCCTCTGTCTGATGCTCGTCGCTTCATCCTTGGCTCTTGGAAGAGAAAGAAGATCACATCTGATGAGCAACCGAGTTAGTTTCTTCCACTACCCCTTATGTTGCACTGGAAGGCTTTCACCTCCTGACGCACTCGTGTCTCTGCCTACTTGTGTTTCTACAAAAAAGCTATGGCTCATTACTGATAGACCAGTTGTGGGCTGGAGGCTTAATGCATTTTGGAAGGTATAAATCAGCCTCATTATTCAAAGCAATGTCTCCTACAACACTTGTTTCAGACACATAGTGGGAACAAGTCAACATAATTGAAGCTTGTTTTACAGCAAAAACAAGTTTGCAAATTAACATATTCCAAAAAATCTCTGGAAGAAAATGCCCAAGTTATCCTTCTGTGTGGATGCCTGCTTCTGATTCAGCCTATCGGCTTTTGGGGGTTCATTCATGGAAGACTGCCCACCAGGCACCACCACCAGCTCACCGAGTAACTGAAGCTCAAATCTGTTCCTCAAACAGCCAAGAATACACAAAACTGACCCTAAAGAGAACACCTTTCACCTTTTCCAGCAAGGTGGCAGAAGACAAAAATGCCACTTACTGTGAGATTGAGTTCATTTAACAGGGATTTGCCCACAAATGTAAGCCGAGTCTTAAAATAAGTGCCCCCTCTCTATTTATCCCTCTTTAGGCTCTAACCTTTCTATCACATCTCCATCTACCCTCATCCAACACAGCTGAAACTTGGAATCCAGCATCCAAAACTATCCCTTCAGTCCCCACGTGCAGGAACCAATGCAGACTATTACCTGCCTTCAATCAATATTCCAACGGAAGGAAACACCGCGGTGCCAATACATGTGCTCCCTCGCACCACCACTCCATGCAAAGAACAACTTAACCTATTGAATGTGAATCTCATGATTTGCATCCAAGTATCCAAGGTCCACACATCACTACAATTCAATGCAAACAAGTACAAGCTTGACTCGCTCCTACTTATGGCAGAAAACCTGATTTCCAACATGCATTTTCTGCTGCTTGGAAATCTAGAGTTTGTGGTGGCATTGCAGAACCAATACCTATGAACTAATTCAAGCCTTTGACTACTGCACCTTTTCCCCAAAGGAAAGTCTTGTTTCAGTTTAGCAGGATAAAACCTGCCAGCCTGGCCTTCACACACTGCATCAACCAGCTCCATCAAACTCAACTTTTGCTCCCAATACACCTCCTCTTCACCTTTATCTCTTGGAAAAGGGTTTCAAAGACTCACATAGCTCTAGCCACTAAATGCTGCTGCTCCAACTGTTCCAAGGGATTTCTATTGGGAGTGGGGGGGGAGAGGAGGAACTGCACACAGATCCATTTCCTTACTCCGAGCAAGTCAAAGCCAAGCCCCAGGAGTCTTCCCTTACAGGTTACTACAGCAGACAGGGAAAATATTTTGGGGTTACACTTAAGAGTCCCAGTGTTTCACCATGTAAGAGACTGATAAATCACTGTGCTTTGAATGAAGTTCACCCTCTGGCAGTCCCACCCTTTCTGTGGACACAAGCATGATCTCATTGCATTAATTCATCTAGTACCTGTCACCCAGATCAGAGATAGCAACAGATAAGGCGAGAAGTCTTGCAGCAGACTTGGCATCTCTGCACTACAAGCTTCCACTGACAGAGGAGCACTGCCAGGCCCAGCCAGCTGAACAGAACAAAGTCCTGAGCCCCACATGCTCCTTGTTCTGTTCATTCCGCATCCCTGACCTCATATTTGATTATGCCTTATAGAAACCTCCACTCCTTGCAACATCACCAGCATCATCCCTGCTGGAAACGTATGAGTAACATCTCCGCTGGAGAAACCCCACTGCACAGCAGCTCTGAGGTAATGACCCTTGTGCAATCCGAGCTGGATCGGGATCCCTGGTGCAAACGGCGTTATCGTAAACAAAATAATCGGAGCACTCACGTAGTTCAGCATCAACTGTATCTTTATTCTTCTTCCAAACTAGGTTTTCCAACGTCTCAGGAGACTGGAGTCATCACCTTGGAGAAGGCTGGATGGTCGGAAGGTCCAGGACTCTGTAATGCGAAACGAGATACACTTGATGCCGCGGTTCTGGATTATTCTTGATTACGATAACGTGGGATGCACCAAAACTCCTCAGCTTGAACCATCTGTGTTTATTTGGGCTTAGGAAAGGCCTGAAGCTCCCAATATCACATGAGAGAGTAAAAGGGCTCTTGAGGTTCAGACCCTGAAGAGTCACAGACGCACAGCCCTGCGCAGCAAGACAAATACAGCGTCAGTGATCTCCAAAGGCATTTTGTGATGTGAGAGCATCAGCAACAGAGCAGAAACAAACACGTTCTCCTTTTTAACCTCCACCACATGGTACTTGCTTGCCTGGTTTTAACAGTAACTTCAATAGAGCCAGGTTAGCAACAGTGCCACAGCAGAACCTTCACCACTGGAAGCAATTTTTAATCACAGTAAGAGCTAATGCTTAGAGTCTGGACTTGAACAGAAGGATTTCTGCAAATGGCAGAGAATAATACATTGGATTTTATTCTTATCAAATCCCTGCTGCAAGTTAATTCCTCTTCACAATTTATATTTGGCCTCAAAAAGATAAATCAAACTAATTCTACTTAAATTCAGTGCTGCTCAGGAGTTCCATCTGGCCCCATCGAAAAGGAGAAATTCAGGATTTCAATCAGACACCCTAGAACTGAATCTACACCACCTCTACCAAATGCTCAGTTTAACCCTTCGTTAAACCAAGCTGCTTTTCTTCACCCTGTATCCAGTTAGATCAACTGTCAAAAGCACAGGGAACATTTGGGGCATGGGGACTGCATTCCCAACACTACCCCAAAGCAAACAGTACCATCACCTGGTTGTGGGGCAGCTGCCAAAGGTCTTCCTGAGTTAAAGTACTGAGCCCACCTATGTTTTGATGAACAACACTCCCAGCCTCTGCTGCTGGCAGCCCTTAACAGCTATCCAGTGCTTTCAGAATGAGTTGTCTTGGCACTGAGAGTGAGTGGAGGTGTCCCAGTCCCTTAAAGGGCATCCACCGAGTGAAACATCCCAGCTGCCTCACACAATACTTGTAAGAGCAAGAAAAGCACCAACACAAACAAGTACTCAGCTATTAAAGACAATCCCATGCCACTCACAGCACTGTCAACCCCATCTCCCTGCTGCCTACGTGGCTCCTGCTGCATCACAAGGGTGGCAGAGCCCCACAGAAGCCTCAGGGGCCCTCAGCAGCACCCAGAGGGTTTCAACGAGCACTTCAGGATCCTCTTGAGACTGGAATGAAGGATGGCTGGATAGAAGGAAGGTCCCAGAGGGAAGCAAACCAGGGCAGCTGCTGTGAAAAAGCAGGAAGACTGTTCTCTTTTCTGCACATTGTGTAACCCCAGGCAGAGCAAGGAGATTGGTTAAAAAGGCACAGGCTTCCCTGGCTCAGCCTCCTGCAGAACAAGTCACCAGCCTCGAAGCACAGGATGGCCACTAGGAACAGTATTTTGAAGCTGGGCTTAAGGCAAATCTTAGAACAAGAACAGCAATGATGGAGGATCCCCCTCTGCAGCTGTGAGCAGAAGCATCAGCCCTGAGCAGGACCCGTTGAGCTGGGTCCTGTGCCATGAGCAGTGTGTGCTGAAGCCATCTGGACATGCACCGGTCATGGGAGCCCTGCTCCCCGTCCCCCCATCTGTAACAAAAATGCTCTCTCATAGAGATAATGGAGTGACAAATCTAGCACTAAAATTCATTGCTTAACTTCAATGTTACACACACAACACACCAACCATCTCACCGGAGAAGTGTCTGAAGCGTCTTACTGTGCTAGCTCTGACTTTAATACACTTATTAATCAAACCGATTGGAAACCAAGATGTCTTTAAATTACATCGCTTAAGGAAATGGTCTCATTCCCAAATTACTGCATGACATTCCAGCGCCCAGCAAAACAAAGACTGAAAAGAGCAGAGGAAAGGGACCTTTTCATCTCAGCTTAAAGAGCAAGCAGGTCCCGCAGCCCAGCAGCCGCAGCTAATAGCTGGAGCAGGAAAAAGCAAGCACCTTTGGGGCGTTCACAGCATTACTCAGAACACAGAAACGAGTTAAGGCACTGGAGCAGCTGATACAGCCTCCACGAGAGGGTGAAACGTGGTGGTTGGTATCTACACTTCTAGTGGGATGACTGGCAACCCCAAAGGCGCCCGACCCCACTGCTACAAGCGAGCTCATCTCTGCAAGGGAGGGAGGCAGTGGGAGACCTGATCCAAAGGTTTCTGTTCCACTCTCCCTGTCCTCTCTCCTCTCAGCCAGTGCAGGCCTCAGCTAGTGCAAGAATAAAGCTAAAACGATCCATTATTTAGCCGTATCAGGCTGCACCTGTTACAATGCAAACAACACACGAGGCAGGATTATCAGTGGTGCTGAATCAAAGTTCACCTTCAGCCCGGCTCCCAGCACGTTCCTGCTCACAAGACCCGCTGGCTGCGACCTAAAAACCTACATGCTCACTGCCATTAGATGAGCGTGGTCCAGCTTCCCAGCACGGGAACACGCAGGTCGGTATCGCTGCGAGAAGCGGCAATCCCAGAGTGTTGCCACACGCCTTCTCCAGGCAAAGCCGGCTCGGGACAGCTCAGAGCCGAGTCATCAGAGGCTCCATTCCCATTGGAAAAGCTTCCCAGAGAACAGGCGGAGCTGGGATCAGCCCGGCCTGCGGAGGAGTCACCGGCTGGGGGATGACAGGGAATGTTTGCCAGGCAGATCCCGAGCAAGTGGAAGGAGGAGCGGCTGCAGCCGGGCACAGGGCACCTGAGGGAGACTGCACAGGAACAGAGTGCTGGAAGTTTTAACTGTTCTGTAAGAGAACAGTAACACAGAGAGCCCATGAGATGACTCAGAGCCACCAGCACAACCCAGGCACCGCTGGCGTGAGCCCTTCCAGGAAGGGAAACCTTCTCCAGGAACAGAGGAGCCCTGACTCAGAGACTTCTTGGAATCGCACGGACTCATTCAGGCTTCTTCCCCAAGCAAGAAGTTCACCCAAAACCAGGCACAGAGTTTCTCTGACCAAAGAAGAAGGAAGAATCCCAAGGTGCTGGCACAGCACAAGGGGCTGGGGCACCCCCGTGCCCTTAGAAGGCACCTCATGAAATAGGAATTTGCCAAGCTTGTGCTTCACAAGGTGGGAGGCAGCAGGACCGCCTCCAGCAGCCCCTACAGACCCACCCCAGAGCCTCCTTCCTCAGCCCAACCTGACCATTAGCTTCATCCCACTCTGTGAGCAAGGTTCAAGCAGCACTTCCGAGGCTGTAGCGCTAGAAGGGAGCCCAGCACACCTTGCTTACCTCCCACATCTAGCTGCGGACAGTCTCCATCTTCTCAGGGTCAAAACAGGCTTCCAAAGGGCAAGTCAATCATCAGGGAAAGCAAATTCCTTCCTGCCTCCCCCCCCCCAACAGGCAGCCAGGGAAACTCTGAAGCACAGGATTCCAGCGACGTAATTACAGTGCAAGCAAGCAACAAGCTGGGCTTTCTTTAAACCCTTCTGATGCATCAACACATGAGATAGCCAAGGACTCATCTCTGGGAGTTCCCTCTTTGGTTACATAAACACCAACTTCGGCTTAACCCCTTCCTGCTGAAGCACAGGCAACATCCACTGGGAACAATCCCTGCTCCAGCCCAACACCCTCATGGCAGGGGCACCACCAGCCAGGTCCAGCACAAGAGGAGAGCCTGGAAACCCAACTGCAGCGCTTGGCTCTTACCTGAGGCTGCACAATTCACTCGAGCTCCCCATCCTGGGCTTCTCCTGGGCAGCCACTGCCCTTCCCATCAGCATCAGGTGAGGTGTGCTTTGTGTTACGAGCTTGTGTTCCTCCTGCTTATAGCTTCTGTACACTTAATATCCCACAAATGCACTTGCAGCAGGACGTGCCTCACACACACACAGATTATCGCATGACTCGCACATGTGCACACGCTCTCTGTACAGGGAGGTGAGGCTGCTGCTTTTAACAGTGATCTACTCATCCAGCCCTTGCTGGAGAGAAAGAGATGTACTTCAGCTATCTACATATGCCGCCACGCTAATGTTACTACCATTGGTAGCATGACAGCACACAGGCACCATAAGGTCACAAACGTGCACCTAAAAGAGTGTTTCACATAGACTACAATGGGCACGGAGCCTCCTCTAGTCCAGCCAGAGCTCCCAAGCTGGATTGCTCCCAGGCAGGAGTGAGGAGCAAGCCCAGAGCACCGCCTGGTCTCTGCAGACAGATAACACATCCCTTCCTTAGGCAGAGCACAGTGGGCACTTCAGGCAAAATCAACAGGGTTGTCTGTAAGCAAAGAGCAGCAAAGCACCTACAAGGCTTCCCTCTGCAGAGCTCCAAAGGAGGTGGTTCTGTGATATCCTGGGGATAAAAGCAGCTGAACATGAGGGTGTTTTTAAGTAACGCGATTACGTGACCAAGCCATCAATGCGGATGCCATGGAGAAACAATAAAAGGATGTAGCATAAGTGCTGCAGCATCAGGGAAGCATGAAACACGTCCTGCATCCCGTGGCACCAGCCTGGAGCTGCTTCCCAGCAGGCAAACCTTACCCTTCCTCTCCAAGGCACAGCTTAGCCAGGCTGCAGGCACCCTAGGAGCCCTCCACGTGCACCCAACCCATGTCCCTTCTGCCCCGAAGGGTGCCCAGTGTCTGGCTCAGCCTTGCCACACAAGGCACTGGCTTCTGCTCCAACTTCACCACTCTCCAGACACAGTCTTGCAGCCTGAGACAAGAGCCTGAGATGCCTGGCACACCTACACGGTTCAGTCTGTGCTGAGCCTAAGACTCTAAACCAGCAAAGAACTGTCTCACTAACAGGACAGCACATTGCAGCCACAGCAGGAGGAGGGAGCAGCTGGCCAAGAGCAAGACAAGCCCCCAGCTCCTCATGTCATGGAGGGAAACGTGCTCCCTCCAGCAGCACCATCAGACCTTTAACACACAGGGCAGCAGCGAAGCTCCCGCAGCCAGAAGGCAACAGACGAGGTCCTGAAGCAGGAAACCCCCGAAGGAGCCTCCTCATCCTCCCCAGGTGAGCTCCACGGGGCAGGCAGCCGCGGCCAGTTCCGGCTGCAACACTTGATGGGCTTACTCATTCTCACTTGGAGGACAAGCACCAGCTCCTCACCGCCGGGACACGGGCGGCTCCTCCTCAGCGCACAGCTCCCGAACGACTGCAGCGAGAAACCCCTGCCCGGACCGAAAGCGAAATCAACACCAAACAACACCCGGCACCGGCTCCGGCTGAGCCGCAGCCCTCCGGAGCCACGGGGAGCTGTCCTCAGCGCGTTAACCACGCCGTGCACACGCGGCCCGCTACAAACCTCCCCTTCACCCGCGAGCGACCGGGGCACCGGCAGCGGAGCCGGCCGCGTCACCCTCCCGACAGCAGCAGGGCCGGCAGCCACCGCGCACGCACCGGACACCGGGACACGGAGCCCGGCCCCTCTCTCCCGAGGCCTCAGCAGCGGGCGGGCTCCACCGGCCCGGCGCCGCTCGGAGGCCCCGGGGAGCACGAAGCGGCCCCGCACGGTCCCCGGCCCCCCCCCCGCTCCCGGCCCCGCTCACCCATGGCCCCGGGGCCGGCGCGGCCTGCGCTCGGCTGCGCGGCGGCAGCCACCTGACAACGGAAGTGACGCACGAGCCACCGCCCCCTCCCGCCCCGCCCGCTACTGCCCCGCCTCCTGGCGCCTACGACACAGGGAGAGGACGATGTTGATTGGCTGCCACTGGGATACGGCCTGGGCGGTGATATTTGCGGCACGTTTTGATTGGTTGAGGCGCGGACACGAAACGGAGGCAAGATTTGATTGGCTGAGGCCGTGCCACACCCGTCGCCTTGGCTCCCGCGCACCGGGACCCCGCCGCACGGCCGGAGCCCGGGCAGGGCACACGTGCGGCGGGCAGAGCTGTGCCAAGGGCGATGGGGGAGCGCGGCGGCAGAGCCGGCAGCTCCAGCATCCCCCTCCGCTTGCCCCGGGCAAAGCCAGCCCTCTCCGCGCCAAGCTCAGCCCCTCTCCCGTGGCCCTCTGCCCATTAAACTCTTCAGACCATAACTGACCCCATCCCCGGCTCAGGACCATCCTGCAGGGTAAAGCTATCCATGGGCAGCAGGAAGGCTGCAGCCCAGCAACAACCCCAGGATGTGGCTTTGGCCTGTAGAACTTTGCTTGCCCACCACAGGACACGCAAGGAGCTGCCAGCAGAACAGAAAATGAGCTGAGAGATCAAAGACCCTTTTAAAGTGGGTTATTTATCACAAAGAATAACCCTGCTTCCCTGTGGGCACTGGCCAGGGGAGCAGCAGAACCCCGTGCGCCCGGCTGGGATGTCTGGGGTGAGATGCGGAGGTGGCTGGCAGTCAAAAGGGCAGGTCCATGGGCTCACTTGTACTTGGCACGAGGGAACTCCTTCCTGCCCTTGTCACGGCCCCCGAAGTAGCGGACCCTGTGGATGGCCTGGAGCTGCTGCTCGATGGTGGCCCTGATGTCCACCTCGTCGGGGATATGGACGTAGCGGACGTTCCTGCCGGTCACAAAGAGCTCGTCCAGCTGGGACACGGTGCCCTGCCTGTCCGTGAAGGTCACCTCGGCCAGACGCACGTTCATGAAGGCGTCCACGCTGGTGATGCGCCCCGTGGCCGTGCTCTCGTCGCGGAGGTCCACGGTGGTGACGTGGCCGCACAGGCCCTGCAGCAGGATGACCAGGCTGTTCTCCGCGATGGTGCGCTCCTTGACTGAGTGGCTGACCTCCATCGCGTGCCTTCGGCTGGGAACAGGGAGACACCGAGCTGCATCCCGGCTGGATACCCCCACCACTGGCCAGAGCCGCCTTCCTCAGCATCCCTACCACCCTCTGCCCAATGCCCCTCTCTTAAATCACTCATATTCCCCACGTGTCTCCCCTTGCACACTGGGACCCTCACTGCCTCCTCCCTTGCACGCTCCATTGCACACTCCTGCTCTCCCAAGTCACTCCCATCCTCCATGTGCCCCCCCTTGCACACTGATGCCCCTCACTTGCACACCGCCCCTCTCCCACCGCTCCCGCTCTCCATGTGCCCCCTTTGCAAGCACACACTGATCCTCCTCCCACCCTTGCACGCTCACCCCCGAGCCCCATCCCCTTGCACGCTCACCCGCCCGCCCGGCGGCAGGAAGGGGCGGCCGCGCCTGCGCTCTGCTCCCGGTCCCGGTCCCTCCCCGCTCCCGGTCCCGCCCCGGACCTTTACCGTGCTCAGAGCGCATCCATCAGCGCCAGGAGGTCTTCGCCCTTCTCGGAGCTCGCCGGGCGCGGCTCCTCCACCTCCAGCTCCCCCAGGATGCAGGAGAGCTCCTCCCGCCGGCCCGGCTCCTGCGGGGCGAGACAGCGCGGCTCAGACCGCGACGGGACGGGACGGGACGGGTCTGTGCGGGGCTGCCCTGCGATGTGCCCGCCCCTGCTGCCACCAGCCTTGGCTGGGCTGCCCTGGGATGTGCCCAGCTGCCTGCCGATGCCTCTGAGTCCCTCCGAAGAGGGCTGCAGGCATCAGGCTGTAACCATAAGCAGGCAAACGAGCCATCTTAAGCAGCTAAAAGCTTAGAATATTCGTATTATAATACTGTATTATAGTATTATAAACTCGTAATATTTGTCAGGTTTCAAGTTCTCTTATGAAGCAGTCACCAAACGCAAAGGCTCAGTAGAAAACAGTGCCATGATTTACTGATGAGCTTAACTGGGGGTAAAAAAAGGTGTATTTTGAGTTACTACTCTGGGTGAAACCCACTTCTTAGCAAGGCAGAGCAATGAGAATCAAAGGTCTGAAGTGTGCTGTACGTACCTGTGTGGCTTCTATGTTGATAACCTTGTATGATAACTCTTCAGGTCTAGTCAGTGCAGCGTGTCTTGATTGAAAACATGAAAAGAGTGCTTAATGTCATGACGACACACAAGTAAATGATAAAAATCAGATTTCATGAGGCTCCTGTAAGCATGAAGTTTGGACCACGTCCCTGTTCCTACTGGGCAAATTAATTATTGACCCAAGTTTGGAGGCTTTTCCCCACCTCATTTTTTTAAGCTCGGTGTAGAACAGTGGGAATATCTCTGTCACTGAGATTAAAAGTAGATGTCTGCAGAAATCATGTAACAAAAAGTCCCAGTATCCTTGTGCTCCCCACCCAAGCGGTCAAGCCTGTGAGGCTCATCACCACCACCGGTTCCCACATACATCTACATACGTAGGTGTATTTGGGGAAAGGAGAGCTGAAAGGGCTGAAGGGATGGCTCTGTTCCATGGATAGAATGAAGCACAGCTCGTCACCCACTGCTGACCACCAGTGCTGCTCAGAGGGGACACCAGTGAGGGAAATGCTCTCCTTGCCGACAGCCGGAATAAACAAGCTGGGAAAAGCACTCCTCCTTCATCCTGAAGGGACCACCTGGACCAGGACAACAAAATGCTAACCCCTGCTATGTTGTCCCCTAAAGCTGTCCAGCTCTCCAGGGCTGTCCATACTGGCACCAGCTCCCAAACCCCAAATCAAGAAGGACCTGAGCATACTCTTCCTCCTCGTCGGTTGTGAACAAATTCAGTCGAAATCCTGTGTCACTGCCACTGGGATTCTTGATCTCCAGACCTCCCAGCAGCCTGGCCAGGAAGTTCAGTTCTTCTTTAGCAAGAGGGTTAGGGACTATATTCTCCTGCAGAAAACAGGTTCATTGGTGAGGTTACCCTGGAGATGAGGACTAGAATCATTTTTGTGTTTTCTGATATTACATAAATGTTCTTCAGAGTGATATAAATACATTTCCGTATTGTTGATGGTACAGATTGTGCAGATAGCTAGTAATTATCAGCTATAAAATGATGCTCGAATTTATAGACCCAGGACAAGATAATTTTACAGCTAAATTGAATAGCTGGGAAATCTGTAAAACCAGCTTTCTGTTTCTGTAGAGATTAAAATAGGATGCAAGAAAGCCATTGCATAAGCCTGTGTGTGAGGTTCTTCAGGAAAACGTGCTTTTCCCCAGCTCAAAAGGGATCATGGACAATTGGATTCTCAATTCTCTTTAGAATCACAGAATCCCAGGCTGGATTTCAGAGCAGCTTGCTCCAAGCCCTGTCCAATGTGGCCTTGAACAGTGCCAGGGATGGGGCAGCCACAGCTCCTCTGGGCACCCTGTGCCAGTGCCTCAGCACCCTCACAGGGAAGAATTTGTGCCTAAGAGCTCATCTCAATCTCCCCTCTGGCAGGTTAAAGCCATTCTCCCTTTTACTATCCCTACAGTAAAAAGTCCTTCTCCAGATTTCTTGTAGGCCCCCTTTACGTATCAGAAGACTCTTATAAGGTCTCCCCAAGAAGAAGAACAGAAGCAGTTCCCCTGAGGTTATCTTGTAATTGTAGACTAAAGTAATGGATTTTGTTTCCCTAAGAAATGAGATGAACAAAGGGGAAGGCAGTGAATGATTTGGAGGTGACAGATGTGGGCACTTCTATCAGTGACCCCATCTATTGAGGGACAAGGGAAAAGAATGTGAAATCTAGAACGAAAAGCTCCCGCCACATGTGGCCAGCTCAGGACCCACCGACCCAGACTGGTCAGCCAGTTAACCAGTGACAGAAAGAGAACAACACTGACCTTTGCATGGGATGTCAAGTTTTTGGATGATCCTGACATGTGTGTCTCTACTGGCCGACTAATGCTGTACCTAAAGGGAAAAAAACCACATGAGAAAGATCACTCTGTTACTTGTACGAGATAAAGGAGTTGGAAGAAGCAGCACAGTATCTATGTTTTTAGGGTATTTTTCTGAAGACTGTAAATAACTGAAATAAGAAGTTACAGTTCAAGCTGGTAATAGAAAAGAGGGAAAAAACCACAAGGCTGAAGACATGCTTTTGAACAAATCCATAACCATCAACATTTACTTCCTGTTTCTATGTAGGACTAAAGTTACTTACATATTTGTTCCGAGTTTGAGGACTCTGTCTCCATAAAGACCAAAAGATCCTTCCCTTTGTGGAGTAACATAATTTCCAGGAGTGGTGAACTCAGTTCTTTTAACTTCATCTCCCTCATGATTAAACATCCTTAAAACCAAGTCATTATTGAAACATAATTAATAGTTTTATTACTGATTTTCAGTACTGAGTTCCTTTGCTTACAGCACAAGAAAAAGGGGAATAAAACCCTAATCTGTATGTTAGTGAATGCCTATTTTACAGGATAAAGTACTAATAACTAATTTAATGGAGTAGAGAATGCCAGAAACAGCTTAACATTTCATTGCTGCCTGACTTAGTCCCAAATCCTTTAAATAGGACTTACTGGAGGTTCAGCTATCCCTGCAACATGAATGACAGCCTAAGCTCAATTCCTATTAGGCCTCTGGGACTGGCTGCTCTCCCTGAGCAGCCATACGTGCAAGGCACTGCAAACAGGATGAGCAGTTGTTCAGAGCTCACCTGATGAGTCCTGGAACTTCTGTGCCCCAAGGAACAGGGCCTGATATTGGCAGCACGAAGCGACCATTAGAGTTTTGCACTTTATCCTTCAGAAAGATAGAAACCTGCAAAAGAATATTCCACCTTTGAGAAATTCAATTGCATATCATCTGATGTGAATCCTTTGAAGTATGGCCTTGCAGCCTTCCTGCCTAGAGTGGGGTACGTTTCCCAGAGATTTAGGTCTATATTCTATATACTATATTGTATATATATATACTGTATATATATACACCATACTATACTGACAGTATGATACAGGCCAAGGCCAGTAATGTAGAACTGTGGTCCAGACCATGGGCACACCAATCTAATATTAAAATGAATAAATAAAAGATATGTACTGTTTAGGCACTTGAGTATGATCCATTTATTTAGAGAATATAAAACCCCATTACTTAAAGCTCAGGTTCTTTCGTATTTAGTTTTTATTAAAAGGAAAAACATATTTATGAGCCAGGAGATCCATACTTCCAGAGATCCCTTTTTTCCATAGCATTTTAGAATTACTGAGTGTTATTGTAGTAGATGTGCTCAGTTTGTGAAATGCTGAAGTTGAAATTACAAACACATCATGATGACTGAAAAGTGTATGTAATAAAACCAAACCTACAGTGTAATTATAACAAGACACCTCCGTATTCTAGCCACAAACTCCCTTTCACTCTTACTGAATGGTTGTATTGAGCTCTTACCCGTATGTGCATGTCCTGAAAAAAAATGAGGAGCGTTTGCCTGATGAGCTGAAATTCTCCATCAGAGAGGCAGCTGTATGTCTGGAAAAGAAAAACCATTCATGGAAGGCTTTGCAAGTGTACTGTGTCCAAGTTAAAGGTGGAAACAAGGATATTGGAATACTGCTGGCAAAAATAGCATGTGTATGGCAGGGGAAGGAGAAATGATGGGGGGGGTGTGTGTGTATGTGTGAGGGGGCTTCAGTAATTATTATCCATGACTGAAGTCTGATTTAATTCCTGCAGAAGTCAGTGCAGACTTGATCAGGCTGAATAAGCAATGTATTGATTTAATCTGCACCAGCAGAAAAATAACACTTGACTTGTAGACATGTCCCTCTCCAGCAGCCCTTTAGAAACATTTCACGACTTCCCAGAACTTTCAACATGTTGTGAAACCAGTTCTCTTTCATTGGAATGCTCATATTCTTTGTCAAAAGAATTCCAGCAAAAGTTGGAAACTGGGAGGCCAATTTGTTTCCCTCAGGTAAAAAAGAAGGGAAGGTTATTGGGACATTTCTCTGAGGAGATATCAATGTCCACACTTGATATGGCATTGCTGATGTAGTGTTTAGTCTCTAAGATGAGCTTGAAAGAGAAAACAAATAAAATCATCTCAAACCACAGTGTATCCCACCCTTTTCCAAAGGATTCTTACATCAATCAGCTGTCGGAAAGTTTCATCCACCTGATTCATAATCCCAGGGGAATCATATATGAAATCCTTGATGGCATCCAGGTGATTGAAGGTGACCAGCAGAATGTCCCTGGGCCGGGGGCACAGCAGCACTTGGTATTTGAAAGCCATTGTCATCAGGTCATACAGCTGCAAGGGAACACGGGGAAATGTTGGTTCTGCCACAACAGAGTGTGACACCACTCAGGGAGCTTTGTACTGATGTAGGAAGGGATTTAGACATTGAGGTTAGCGCCTGCCTATGGGAAGAAGAACCATTTCAGCTTTGCTTCCTGATAAAATAAGAGCTCTGCAATCACTGTCAGCCCTCCTGCTGGGCTTTCCAACTGCCTTTGAAACTACTGCCAATTTCCATAACCCTGGCACCCAGGTAGAGGTGTCTCAGGTAACTCAGTTCTGCTGGATATACTGTCTGCAGGCAAGAATTCTGTTTTCATTTCTGCTTAATTTGCAACTGCAAAACAGTGTCACTATAGAAATAGATATTTATACACACCCATGTATGTATGTATTTTAAATAGATATTAAAAAATCTGATAGAGAATGCTTCCTGAACTCCTAAAAATCCAACTTTTAGCTATTAAAGCAGAAATACAAGTTCTGAAGTATCTGACACTACCATAAATTTCCCCAAAACCTTGATGAGAACTTCTTTTACAAAGGAAGTGAATGGAATGAGGGCTGTCACAAAGCCCTTCAGAATTACAGTGATGTAAAGCCACGTGCTAATTATCCCGACCAGAAACCTATGAACAGAAGCACAGAAGGACTGGGCAGGAGGTTCTTTACCTTGTCCATGCTTGCCTGGTTCAGTCTCATGATTGAAGCATGAGCCAGGCGGTCGTACACTGTTCGTAGCGCCTTCTTGGAATAGAGTTCCTGCGGTTTAAACAGCTCTTCCATGAACTTTTTATTGAACATAGTTGTGATGATGTCATTCATAACTGCAAAGACAAAGAGCCTCTGGGTTTTTGCTTCAGAAACAGCACAGGATTTGTTCCACACTGAGAATTTGGACACTGACACCTGTGAGGACTGACATGAATGCTTACCTGTGGAACGCGGTACATAGCCACAAGGGTAAAAGGAAAAGGAACATCACTTCCTAATTTCAACATTTCCCTCAATCCCACAGCAGCCCAAGCAAGATTCCTGCTGCCTGTCCCCGGGGGCAGAAAGCAGTGGGAATAAGGTTGGGTTTGTTGCTGGTTTTACAGCTATGGCACTTTTCCCTTTTTGAATTACTTTGTCTATAGGTGACTCTGACATGTATTATCTATAAAAGCTGCAGTTCTGCTTCCTAAGAAGACTGTTTTGCAAACTACAGCCAACTGACTCTGCCTGTCCTCTCTTTAGCCTTTGACACTCTTAGTCTATTTTTCCTTCTAAACAGAAGCTCCTGAATGATTCAAGGCTCCCTGTAGTATTTGTTTCATAGGGATTAACACTGGCAAGTATTTAAGGAGGCGTTTATAACAGTGGGATCTCTGTCAGGCCATTCAGGGCTCTTACACAACCACCTCTGCAGATCCTAAAGCAGTTCAAAAGCAGAACTCTCAACTTCCTCACACATGCTTTTTTTTTTTTTTTTAGGTGTAAATTTAGACATGGAATTGTCTACGTAAGGTAATTCCATGTCTAAATGTAGCACGACTTACACAAGAGTACATGGAGATCAGGAGTGCTGAGTATAAGGGCTACACTCCGGTTACGGAGCTTTTAATGCAAAGAAGAGAGAAAACATTTTGCAGTGATCCAAGCAAATGCATCATCTAGCTTTTATGCTGGATCTGATACTTTGATCATGTGCCTGATACATTCTACAGAGTCCTCATAAATAAGCATTTAGTTCTTTAACCAAAAAAAGGTTAAATCAATCTTCAAATCACACAGATTCCTACACAAGCCTGAGTTTTCCTGAGCAGGTGACTGTTACTGAGGCTGATGCTTAGAAATTAGAAAAATCTCAGAGGAAGTGATAAAGAAAAGGAAAAAAAGGATGAACTATGTGCAGTGGTAGTGATTAGCTGTTGGAAACACTGCTGGAATCATTCACTGCTGGGGTGGACACCTGGCTTCTCACAACCTACCCAGACAGCCAAAGGAAAGTTAATGTCCCAGCCACTTCATCTTGTCTCAGATGAGTAAGTCTTAGTGAATGTTGTTAGGCATGCTGTAGGTGCTCAGAGCTAATAACTTGGGAAAAGTACCTTCTGATGGGATTCTCTCTCCTTGCTTAAACCTGATGGGTTTGGGTTTTCTCCTACACTGGTGCACACCCCTGGTGACACACACATCCCAGCACCCATTGCACTGCACCTCCTGGGGCTCATAGATCCTGACAGACCTCAGCTCAGCTTCTGGGCAGCGTGGATTATAAATACACCTAATTACAAATGGGAAGAAAATCCCTCCTCTTCCTCCTGTCTTTTCAAACAAACTGTCCATAAACCAATCCCTACTTGCAGCCTGAGGCAAACCCCCTCCCTTTTTTCAGTGGAGAAAGTCAAACATATTAGCATTTGTTTATATTTCATTTTGCAAGTAACCATTTAGGACAGAAATGAGGAACTTTTGCCTTATGCTGCTGTCAAGAAAGATATTTTTAAGTTGCTTGCCCGTGTTGCCCACACAAAGGCTGAGAAGCATCTTTGGAGGGTCACTAATAACTGAAACTGTCAGGAGACAGACAACATCCCACGATGCTGACTGTGGCTGGCAGATATTCACACTGCAATTCCAAGCTCTGTGTTAACCACACACCCAGCCTGACATAAATTGTCTTCTGAGATTAAAAACTCTTGTATTGGCTATAAAAAGAATTGACAAAGACACAAAAAAAGTCATGGTAAAGGGCAAATCTCACATGGTATGTTTGGTAATGACACAGCAGAGAGATCTGAGAGCACAGGTAGGCCCTAAGGAGATATTCACACCATTCTAACAATGGAAAATAACAAAGAAAGGAGCTCAAGGGAAAATGGTACGCCAAGCAACATAGCATAAAAGCAATTCAGCGGAGAGCGGTTTCATCCACTGGGATGGGGAAAGGGAAACCAAGTATAGACAATGGATGGGCAGAAGAGAAGCTGAGGATTTACAGTGGTTTTCACTTCCACGTGCCCTGTCACTGGTGCCAGACACATGCTAATGTCTGGTGCACTGCCACGTAACGTGGCTTGGATGCATGACAAGAGACTGAAGCCTTTACACCTGGATTATGCTTGTGCTTCCTGGAGGACATTCAAGGCAGCAGAGGGGACGTTATGAGCTCAAAACAGCCACGCATTCTACTTGCAATAGGTTTATAGTTGGTAACAAGGTCAAAGGCATGCAAAGCTGCCTTGTCATGGCTTCATCATCTCGTTACTCTATGTAGCTCTTCAGAGCTTGCCCCAGGAGCAGTGTCCATAGGCAAACCTTTTTCTCTCACAAGAGAAGCTGATGGACTGGTCAATGTGGGATCTGCATCTGTGCTGCTACCACCTAAATATGCTCAAATGGGCTTTTGTACAACTCATTATCAGTTTGGGTATGATAAAAGAGGAATTTGGAATCTTTTTAGACTTCTAAAATCTTAGATGCTGGAAAAGTAGTGTTCTTGGAAGCAGGGCCTAATGGTAGCATAAAACAGCAGGGGCCAACTCCAGGATACCAGTATTTACCTTCAAAACCTACAAATAATGTTTATTTTAAACCCCAAGAATCATAACCCTGATTTCTCTTTAAAAAGGGCTGCTCAAAAAGCCACTGAAAGTTCTACCTTTCCTACCTACCAAAAATGACATAGTTTAAGAGGTTTATTTGCCCACCCAGCTCCTTACCGCAGCCCTTTGCTGCCTGTTTCCAGGCAGAGTCTATAAGGAAACACTCACCCTGCAGCTGCTCCAGCACAAACCCCGAGGTCTCAGCTCAAACCCACCCTCAGGGGTCATTTCAATCAAGTGGAGCTTGGCTGAAGCTCCCCTGTGATCAGTCTGCAAGGGTGGTGACCACTGGCAGAGACAGATGCAGCTAGGATGGAAATGCCTTAAATCCTTCCTGGAGTTCACCTGTCAAAACCCTAAGCAATGAATTAGAAATGGAGTATACAAACTATTCCTGCAGTTCAGCTGAAAAACAGCCTTCACAATGCCCACCCAATTGTATCATTGCATTGATACGATGCTAGAAAAAATACAAATCTCATTTTGGCTAGGAAGGCTGCTCTGATAAAAGGTTTTGATCTATTTATGGTCTTGATTAAATCAGCAACTTACTTTTGGAGCCATACACTTGTGAGCTATTGCCTATTTTCAATACAATCTATATTTCAAGTGAGTTTTAGTGAACGGGTGAGTTATTCATCTTTGACGCTATGACTAGAAGGCTGCAGGAACAGCACATGGTGTGTTCACATATGATGAGCCCCATGTGTGCATGTAGTGGTGTTTGTCTACTGCATGCAGCTAGAAGGTTACAGTACCTCGTTTCCTGTCCACATCTGTCCATTCATCTACACGAAGCATATAAAACAAAAACACCAGTTCAAGAAGTAAGAACAATAGTTTCAAGGAGAAGAAAAGAAATAATCTAAATAAAAGAGAGAAAATCTAACTAAAGGACTTGGGTTTTTCTCACAGCATTCAGTGAACTCTTCCCTTAGTTGACATCTTTTACAAGCACACAGATGGTGAAACCTTGCCCTCCCCTTGGAAACAACCCTGTTGCTTCAATGGAGATAAAATCTTACCCTGGATTGACTTTTAGCACGTTTTGCATTGAGCTTGGAAAGTTTTCAGCTGTTTTTTTCACACTTGCAAGTAAAGAATATTTGAGTTTAAAGCATTAACAAACACCTCAGTGTGGAGGAAACCACATCTCAGTGAAATTAACACTCCAGTTTTGGTAAGATAAAATACAAGTGTGGATAAACGAGTACAGAGCTAACTCTCCTGCTGAGATATTCCACCAAGTACGGAATATCTCAGCTAATCCAGTCTAAGCTCTAAACTTAGACCTATGTGATCAGCAGTAAACTTTTGGCATTGATCATTCTCTAAGACACACAGGAATAACTCAGATTTGCACCACTGTAGCAAAACCTGTGCTACTGCTTCTTAATACTGAATAGGCAGGAGAAGGAATTAGGTCTTCCTGAAACAGTTCAGGCCCTGGACTGAGATGCCCAAGTCCTGACTTATTTTGATTCCAAAATTACATTTCTGAAGCTCTACGCTCTGAAACAAATACAGAAACGCAGAAATGAGTTTCAGTTTATACCTTATCTGTGTGCATTTCACGAATTAACTTCCATAAGACCTTCAGGCAGTTATTACCACAGAAGCTTCATGACAACTGATTAATTCAAGAGGCTTTACTTCGAAATTAAGATGAGAAAACACACACAATTAATTACTGCAGCGAGGAAACTACTTGCCCCAGCAGCTTTTCAAGGACAGCTCTGAGCATCCTTCAGTGCCAAGTATATCCGTGTTTACTGCACTAGAGAACACAGAGGCGAGCCGACCCTGGAGGAGCCCATCTCTTTACCTGGCTGGGGGCCGGCACCGGCGGCTCCTCCCGACCAGACCCGGGGCAGCCTCAGGCCCCGGTCCCGCACTCAGGCCTCAGGCTGAGGCCCCGCTCGGCACCCACAGGCCGCGGGAGCCCCGACCCCACGCAGGACGGGCTCCGGGAAGTGCCCCGGCCCCGGGCTCTCACCTTTGCGGGCTTTCTCGCCCGGGATGCTCTGGGCCCGGAGGCGCTGGTCCAGGATGTACAGCATCTCCCCGCCCAGGTTGAGGAACAGCAGCGGCAGCGTCCGCACCGACATGGCGACCGCCGGTCCCGCCGCCGCCGTTGTTGCCGGGCAACCAAGGAGCCAATCGGGAAGCGCAGTCTTGGCCCGCAGGGGTCCCCTCAGGAGAGGCTCTTCGGCCGGGTGCGTGGGTTGTGGGTGCAGGAGGGAAGAGGCGGTTTGTGACAAAAAGCGTTAAAATAGCGAGTTTAATACGATAAAAGAGAGGTCAGCGCTCCCCGGTGTCCTGCTGGTGACCGCAGCTGAGACAAAGGGGGGGCATTTTGTGGGTATCAACCAACAGGCATCACCGTAATCACACCAGCGATGCTCTTTTCATCACCAGCACCGGCGTTTTGTGGTAAAACCAACCCACCAAGTTCGAGAATGACAGAGGGAAGGCTGCGGAGAGCAAAGGTAAGGTATAGGTCCACTGTGAAATCAGATGTGATTAACAGGGTTTGTGCAGCCATAAAGCTCCTCCTCAACCCAAGTGAGGAGGAGAGGGGCACTGAGCTTTGAGCTACTGTCAGGGCTGCTGTCTTACCACATTCTTTCTCCTCATTTATCACCCCACAGCTGCATGCAGCTGGGTCAGTGCCACAACAGCACGATCCCGCAGGCTGGCTGGGTGAGGACAGGAGATGGGCACTGCTCCGAGGCATTCCCATCCCTGCCCCTCAGCCAGGAGCCAGGGGTGAACCCCCCCCAAGATCCTCCCCTCACACAGCCCGAACTGCTCATAACACAAGCCTTAAACTTCTAAAACTGCTTCAATCGCTTATTCCAGGTGCTCAGAACGGTGCAGGCCATGCACACGCATAAGCAAAGAGGCTTTAGGTCTTTCAGTAGTTATTTATTGTTAGAGACTGCACCAGGTTCAATGTGCTGCTACACCGGCGTGCCCTCGGCCTGTGCCTGTGCCTGTGCCTGCTCCTGTGCCTCCTTCTCCCGTGCCTCCTTCTCCCGCGCAGCTCTGGCTCTGGCTCTTGCTCGCCACTCCTGCCTCTGCTTCAGCCTCTCCGGTGCTTTCAGCTTCTGCGCCTCCTCAAAAACCTGCAGGAGAAGGTGAGAGAAAGGGAGCTGGATCCTGGTTCGGGAGCAGAGGGCAGGAGGCAGGCTGTGCAGTGAGATCTGCTCCTTCCCATGTGCCTCCTCCGGGATGCCAGCCAGCTCTGCTCCCAGGGTTGCGTTTGGAGGCATTCTGTCTTTGGTTGTAATTGCATCGGGCTACAATTTAGTATATACAGACTGAAGGCATGTCCTGCTTTTTGATTCTGCTCAGAGACACACTGCACACAGCGGTTACAGCAATGTACTGAGATGAAACGAGAGCAGACAGTGGCTGTACCTGCGTTTCTGTTCCAAAGCTGCCCCTAAATTGAATTGTCTCACACATTAGTTCCAATACCAGGCTTGGAAAAGAAAAGCTGGCTTGAATCCTAAATTTCTGAGCAAACTAGCAAAACAACCTGAAATTCTCCAGCACAGAACATCTGCAGCATGACTGCTGCTGCCCACTGCATAACTGTGGAGCTCTTTGCTGAGCTTACATGTTTCTCTAAAGATATTATCACTGTCTGCTCAAATTCAAAGCAGCATGGATTTTGAAAGGATTTAACTACCAGTCTTCTTAATTGTGCCCTTCTCTAAAAGGACTTTTTCCCACTCCAGGTACGTGGCCTGCTCTGCAGGCGGCTCCATACCCTGCGACAGAAAGCCTTCTTCACCAGCCAGCGCTTGGTGATCCGCCGGGAGTAGGCAGCGGGCAGGCTGTACTGGATGTTCAGCTGCTTGCAGGTGTTCTCAAAGGCATCATAGCGGACACGCCGAAGATAGCCCAGGAGTTTCTTCCGGCGATCTATATCCATCAGCATGCGGCGGCGGTTACTTTTATCCTGTAAAGATTGCAGACAGATTATTCCTCTGTTCTAATAAATTACTTAGAATGGACCTGATTATGGCTGAAAGGAAACAATCAGGTTAAGGACAGTATCTTGGAGCCATTTTTCTTGGCAGATACTGCAGCACATTAGGTCACTACAAGGAGATCTGAGCAGATTTAATTTACTTTCCACTGAAATTGCTTTCTTCATTCTGTGCTTGCACCTTCACCTTCCTCCCCCAGCCTTGAAGGCTGTTTCCAACTTGTACACAGCAGTGAAAGCCACAGTGGCTTGGACGCACAGGCCAAAGGGAAGGTCTACTGGCTAAAAGCTCTGCTTCCCCTGAAATCTGTTGGTCCAGAAACAACACAGAAGCATTTCCCTTTAAAATGTGAAAATAAACCATGACTTGGCTCTGACCATTTAGGTTGTTCTTTGGAAGAGAGCACGTGTAGCCAGAGCCATTCAGGGCAGCCTCCCATAGGAGAAACTTCCTCAATGTGTGTAAGAAACAGGCTTCATCCGAGTAATTTCTAAAGGTCTTTTCTGCTGAAACATTTTGTACAACTTCTGCCTTCTTACTAAAACTGAATTCTATTTCATTTTACCCTTCAAGCTTTTAACAAACGCACTTTTTTCAAGCACAGCTGGTTCATGCATTTCCCAACTTTTGCACTGCATAAAGAATCTTTAATACATCTTGTTCCTAAATGTGCAGTTGTGCTGTTTCAAATTTGGGCTCTGAACCCAGGCAGCTTTAGAGAGGATTGTGGTTGTTACGACACTAACACAGTCCTGCCTGCTCAACGTTCTCATAGGCAGAACTAAGAGAGAATACAGCTGCTGAAGTGGGAACATTAATTACACTGAAAACTAAGCAGCAAAGCCACACCTGCAGCAAAGATAAATTTAGCTAAACTCCATTCAACGTTATCTGCTCAGCTGTTTTCACCAATCCAGTGACAAAAAAGAACAGGCTCTTCATCCCAGTTGGTGAGCATGTAGCTGTGACTGAGCCAGCAGCTTCCCAGGCTGGCACCCGGGAACATTTATAACTATTTTATAACCTTCTTAGGAAAGCCACAATGCCCAGAATTAAAATCCTTTTGTTCTTGAACTGAGAAAACAACCTGAGCAGCTGCTGGCTCAGACGTGTGGGCTCAGACTTCTGACAGTTACCTTGGGATGCTTCTGAAGATGCTCCTCGTAACTGCGTATCTTGGCAGTCAACACAGCAACTGTAAAGAACAGATGTAACAAGCCGTGTGAGAGCAGCAGCAGCTTTCTGGGGTGAGACAGTGTCATCTGCATTGCCTCCAAATTGCCAGCTGAGGACCCACTGCACCACAGCAAACATCACCACACAGCCCTCCAAACGAGAGCAAAACAAACCACAAAATACAACCTACTCAACCTAAGTCAGAACTATTACTATTATGAAGATGCTTAATTAGAGGATAAAAGCTTAACAACAGCTCAGATGACTTCATCTGTAAACTGCCTCTTGCACTCAATTATGGGTGACTTTACATTCACTTCACTTGGCTTGGAGGAAGAGACACAAACTAAAGGCTCTTTCTAAAAGCACCAGCCAGCTCTTTGTGATTTCAGGCACTGGATTAAGAGGCCAGTGGCATCCTGAGGAGCTGAAGGATGATAAAGGAGTGCATCTTGCTCAAAGGCAGTGTGGCCTCCATGACTGCACTGGCAGCCAGAACTCTCTGATGCAAAGGGAAATTTGGGTTCCACGGCTAAATCTAGTAGTTCATTTTGGTAATGAAGTACAATGCTTCCTGTCATATAAGCACTTCAAGCAGGATAATGTACTTGCCACCCCTGGAGGGTGGATACGGAGCAGGAATTTGGAAGGTGCCCTTGCAGACATCTGCCAGCAAGCTCAGGCACTGCTTCCACAATGTTCCCCAACCCTGAAGCTCCAGGGCATACTGCAGGTACTCTCCTGAAGGAAACCTGAAGTGCTGGGGTGGGAATAGCTGAATAAAAGCAGAGATATATCGTCTGCCAACAATACCCTCCTGCTTTTTTAACTTACCTTGCACCTCAAAAGAGCCATTGTCGCTGGGAGACCTCCTGACCTTCTCCACCAGCTGCTGTGTCTTTATTTTCATCTTTTCCTTCTGTGGATAACAGCAAAGGGCTTGTCACTTTCTCAAGAGCACGAAAGGTCTGAGACACCCCAGCTCTCTTCCCGAATGCCCAGCTAAAGGTTTTGTAATTAATAGCTTTACTCAGTGTCCATCACAAAGTGTGAAAGAAGTGCTGCAAAAAAAGGCCCTGCTGCTTGCAGGACAGAGTACAGCAGCAAAGCAGCACAAAAAGATCTCAGCAGAACACACAAGTGCCATTGTTCAAACCAAGAGTGCAGGCACACCCTTCACCCCAGGACTACAGAAGGAGGGTGTTGAAGAGGCCCTGCTGCTCTCACAAGTGTGGGAGAGAACTGGGGCTGACCTCACATGGCAGTAGCTTTTACTTTTCCCATCTTTTTAAGCTTAAGTGTTAAGCAGCAAGAAATGGCAAGATCTTTCTGCTGCCTTACAATTCACTTACTTTGTTTTCTGGGCACACAAAAAGTAGTTTGAAGCACATCTGCTGCCCAGTGCCCTGGTTTCTAGGGCACAGGCCTCAGCAGTAATGTAACACAGCTCATCTCCCCTGTGACAGCCTAATATTTTCTTCTAATTTTAGTACGTAATTATTATCATAAAGATTGCATGATCAATTTTAGGAGCATACAAAACTTTTCACTCACATATTTAATAGCCCCAGATTTGCAGTCACTGAGCAACACTTAAAGTGAAGGGCATTTAACAATACAGACAGGTCTTACACACACGTGCTCACTGGATCTGCCACATGTTCTGATGGAAGTAGAATGGAACTAACCTGGCTTGCCATTTCCAGTGACAACAGCCTTTTCACTACATCATCCACACTGCAAGAAGATTGCAGGTTAGTTTATAAGCTAGAAAGGAAATACATTTAAGTACAGAAATGAGGTTAGCTTTTCAGAACATGTTATCTTTTCTCAACCTTACTTTACTCTGCACATGTACAGCAATTCTCCTCCCCTCCCAAACCTGTCAGGTATAAACTGGTTCTTGCATTCCTAGGGAAAACCACGGTGTGGATTACTGAACATGGAGGGGTTTTGCTGCTGAGGGAAGCAAGTTATTTCAACTATTGAGGAAGTCTTATGAATTCCAGAAACCTGACGTGAAAATAGGTGCTGAAGATAACCCCAAGTAAGCACACAAGGGCAAAATAAGACCAGCTCCTTCAAAGATGTGTGAAAGTCTCAGAAACGCCACTGGGGGCTCTCCCTGCATCACACATGAGCAGAGCTGGAATCGAAGCTTAAACCCTCTCAACTCCAGGTCCAGGTTTCAACAGCAGCCACTCCTTTTGAGCTGTTTCACCACACCCTCTCCAGCACCTGAGTTCAAGGCAGGCACAGGGTATTTCTAAGAGGATTATTTCTAGTATTTCAATATTGTTTCTCTTTTCTATGCTCTACAAAGTCCACAGAAGATGTGGGCAACCAGCACTTAATCTTGCATTAAGAAAACAACCCCCCTTAAACAACCATCATCAGTGATTGCTTTTGCAAATTCGACTTTCAAAATGACTCTGCAGTTTCTGTGCTAAATTGCAAACCAGTGATCACAGAGCACTGATTAATTACCAAGCAGGTGACAGCTTCCACACAGCGTGGTTGTGCCTGTGTAAGATACAAATCTCTGAAGAGAACAGTCCTTCCCTCTCCCTGCATCATACCTATTTACTACTGGGACATCGGTATAACCTTTCTTCAGCATTGTGGGAGGAAGGTCATCCAAATGGCTGGGGATGTCTACAAAGAAAAGATGAGCATTTGAGGAAGGGCAGTACAAAGTCAGGGCTCTGAACATACCCGCAAACTAGATCAGAGGAAACAAGTTGCAAAGAAAAGAGACTGTATGCTCCAAATAAGAAGGAAGAACTTAAGAGATCGAGCTGAGGAAGGAATTGAGTGAATAAAATTGGGTGCAACCTCTTGCCTTCAGCACCCTGGATTTACAACCTGGTGTACAGTCCATTGAGATCAGTGATCTCTTGCTAATGGCAAGTACTGATTTCCCACACATTACGAGCAGCTGAATTTTGGCTAACTTCTAATCTTGACATACCTTTCATTCTTTTTTTCACAGGTCTAGCGTACCATCTGGCTGTCTGAATAAGGGGACTGCAAGCTGGATGGAAGAAAACAAAGACTGATCAGACTCATATGCTTTTTTAAGCTATGAACACATTAAATACCACTCAGTCTGTACTGGAAAACTGGTCAGAGTATTTAAGACTCCAAGGGGATCAGTGGCCAGCCAGGTCTTTTGTCCCAGAGGAGCATGAACAGTTCAGTGTGGTTCTCACATGGGTGCTAAAAGAAATGGGTGAAGCTGTGCTGCTTCTGGGTGATCTGCACCCAAATGAGAACAGAGCAGCAAGGAGGAGATTACAGACATCAAGCAGAGTGTGAGGGCTTCCCAGCTACACTGTGTCCATCTGGAGGGTTTAAACTGATGAACTAAATCAAGTAATTCCTTGTGAGTTAGAGGCTGCTCTGGACTACCCCAACGGCAGAGCACAGAGGCAGCGAGATCTAGAGGCAACCTTTGAGCAGCACAGCTTGCTAAGGGTGAGAATACTCATCCACAGCCTCAACTGAGACGTTCTTTGACCTTCCAAGGACAAACTCCTCCAACTGCTCCTTCGAGGCTCCTGGAATCAATGCCTGCTCCTGTGCCTCCAACGTGTCTTCAAGTACAGCCTTTGCCAGCACACAGCCCTGCCTGCAAACGGGACAGGCTCAGAGGCCCCGGAGCGCAGCGCCGGACCCGCAGGGCACCAGCGCTGTGTGCAGGCTGCGAGGACAGGCACTGCCCGCAGGGCTCCGCACGCCACCCGTGCTCTCGGTGCGGTCACAGCAAGCGCGGAAGCCCCGCAGGGCTCCAGCCCGCACCTTGGCCCCGCTCGCAGCAGCTTCGCCTTGGGGAGCTGCAGCCTTGGGGCTGCTCCGGCAGGTCCCGGTTGTACCGGGCAGGGTCAGCGGGCAGCCCCCAGCCCTCGGCCCGGCTCCCCCACTCGTACCTGCCCACAGCCTCCCGCCGCCTCTCAGGGCTGCTTCAAGCTCCTTCCACTCCATCCTAGGCCACCCCGAGACCGCCCCTTCCCGTCTGTCCCCGGTCCCCTCTTCCCCCGCACTCCTCACCGGCCCCGCCGCGGGCCGGCCCCGCCAGGCAGCGGCCCAGCACCGTCCGCAGCGCCAGCATGGCCCTCCGGTCACGGGCCCGCCGCAGTGGGCGCGGCCATCTTGATCAGGCGCCACGGCCGAGCGCCGAGCCAGAGCGAAGGGGGCGAGCGCCGAGCGCGTCGATGGGCGGGGCAGGCGGATCGGGCACCCACGAGCCCCCGGGACTGATCCTGCTCGCACCGGGATGCTCGGGGCCGTTCTCAGCGCGTCCCGTTTATTGCAGTAGGGAGGGGACAGGAGGGGACGCGCACAGCAGTGACGGAGCGAGCCGGGCCCCCTGTACCCCGGAGCAGCCCCAGCACTAAGCCGCCCGGCAGTCGGGCAGCTCCTCGGTGCCGCCGATGCGGAGCCCCTGCAGCAGCGGGAAGGTGGCGGGCAGCTCCTCGGGGCAGCAGCCGTCCCCCGGGCAGCCCAGCCACAGGTTCTCGTAGGGCAGCGGGCTGGGGCTGGGGTCGAGGAGCAGCGGCTGCGTGGAGCTGGAGCGCAGGTAGAGGCGGGGGGGGCCGTGCTGCTGCCCCTTGTACCCGCTGCCCATCACCCGCGCGTACTGCACGGGCTCCCCGCTCCCGCCCGGATCCCGGCACGGCTCCGCTGCGGACCAGCCCCGGCCCTCCTGCGGCACGGTGCAGGGGACGGAGGGCTCCGCGGCACGGGCTGGCTTCCCCGCCGCCCTTTCCAGCACTGTGACGGTAGAAATGGTTGCGGGGCCGGGCTCCTTCACAGCGGGCACCTGCAGAGGCTCCTGCGGCACAGAGAGTGCACGGTCAGAGCCTGTTCGCAGGCTGCAGCCCCTCCGCTGCCCCCTCCCTGTTCTCCTCAAGCAGTGCCCGGTGGGGAGCAGGGCACAGGGGCAGCAGCTGCCCAGGTCTCACCTGCTGCAGCTCCGCTGGAACCCACTTGCCCAGGCTGCTGTTGGCGGGGTCGGGGACGCTGGGCCAGAACTGCCGCTTCACCCTGGGGACCACAGGACCAGGGGATCATTGGAGGGCCCGGAACTGGTGGCCCTGTGTCTGGCTTCACTGCTGCCAAGCTCATGGAGGGATGCTGCTGCTCCTCACATCCACCTTGTCCCTCCAGGACAAGGACTGGGCACAGGGATGCCAAGTGTGGGGCTGATCCAGCCCATGGCAGCTCTCAGTACTCACCGCCCGTTCTTCTGGAAGCAGATGAGCAAAAGGATGAGCAGGACAAAGACCAGCCCAAGGGTCAGGAAGAGGAACTGGATTTCAGCATCATCTGGAAGGCGGGCAGGGACAGGGTCACAGGAGGAGCTGTGCGGGGCACCTCTGGCCATGCTGTGCCATGAGCTGTGCCACGAGGCTGGGGCAGGACCCAGGCTCTGTCCCTGCACTCCTCACCTAGCACTGTGGTCACCAGGGTCAGGCTGGTGCCGTTGGTGCTGCCGGCAGCCGTGGATGCCATGATGTGCACTTTGTACAGCGTTGATGGCTTCAGCTCCTGGATGATGAAGGAGCTGAGAGAGGGATTCAGGGTGGAACCTGAGGAAATGGGGGGCTGTTGGCATGGTGGGGGCTGCGTGGTCCTCACCTGCGTGGTCCCTTGGCGGTGCGTGTGAGACCTGTGCACACCCCGACCCTCTCTGACAAGGGCAGAATCTGCTCTTGTCCCCACCCAACACATAGAGGAGGGATGGAGGGCAGGGCAGGGGTCACAGGCAGGACTCACTGGACACATCTGCGGTGCTGTTGGCCCAGAAGATGGTGTAAGCGGTGATAAAGCCATTCTGCATCTCCACGGGCACTGGCTCCCAGCACAGCTCGGCGCTGGACTTGCTGATGCTCTTCAAGTGGAGCTTCGGGGCATAGGATGGTGCTGAAACAGAGCAGGACAAGAGACCAACGTGGGAACTGAAGGGGGATGCTCTGAGTGGCAAATCCCACTCCCGATGTGTGCGCACCAGGCCCTGCCCCACGCTGTGCCCCTGTGGGGCTCTGTGCAGCAGAGAGCAGCTTCAGGGACAAGCCAAGATCCAGCCCCATGGGCTGAGCTCCTGAGTTAGTGTTACTTGGGTCTCTCCCTTTTGAAAGGCAAAGGCTCCGTGGTGTGGGGTGAGCCCCCTGCGGCCCCGAGGGTGGCTGCTGGGAGCACACGTACCCTTCTGCTTGGAGTAGGCTACAGCGTGGACAGGCACCCCTATGGCATCCTTGTAGAGGGGGTACACGGAGATGTTGTACCGCTGGAAAGGCTCAATGCCATCTGCAGTGGAGAGCAGAGGGGGGAGCGTGAATGTGAGGCTCTGGCTGCCCTGAACCCCTGGTTGTCCTGCCCCTGCCCCATAGCATTGGCCTTCAACCAGCCAGGAGGGCAGGGACCCCCTGCCTTACCCTGGATGAGGGCTGCGGTGGCAGCCCCATCATGCTCCATGTGCCAGCAGGCGCTGCAGCGGCCGGGCTCCGAGGACACCCGCAGCCACTCCAGGATGTATGCGGCCACCGGGACCCGCGGCGGCTCCCAGTGCACCCAGAGGCTGTGCTCCCCCCCGGGCACAGCCCGGAGCCCGGCCAGGGGCTGACCTGCATGGGGACAAGCAGCAGGGATGATGGGAGAGGGGAGCATCCCTGCTGCCTGCTTGGGAACCCCCCGGTTGCTCAAACCCAGCCTGAGAGCTCAGGGAGCTGCTGGGGGAGCAGCAGAGCCCCAGGAGGGTGCGGAGGTTTGGGTGCTCTGCTCTCACCTTTCCTCTCCAGTAGGACAACCTCGGTCACTGCGCCCTCGCCGGCAGCGTTGTAGGCTGAGAGATAAACCCTCCTGGTCCCCGCGGGTGCTGAGAAGTTGCAGTGGGTGTGGGTGGTGTTGCAGACCATCAGGGGGTCCCTGCCCCTCCTCCTGGGGCTCAGGGTGACGTGGTACCCCAGCACTCGCCCATTAGCCTCCTGCCGCCGTGGGGCCTGGGCACAGGGAGGGAGTGTGGGGATGCTCAGTACCCATGCTGAGTGCCTGTGGGGATGCTTGGTACCCGTGGGGATGCTCAGTGCCAGCGGGGATGCTCGGTCCCCATGGTGATGCCCCAGTTGCCCCATGTACCCCCCCCCCGTGCTCACCTTCCAGCAGAGCTGCACCTCCAGCCCCTTGCCCCCCCTGGCCGGCCGAGAGCTCCACCACGCATCCAGCTTCCCTGTGGGGGCTGCGACAGGAGGAGGACAGGCAGGGAGCTGAGGGGCAAGCACGGCCATGCCACCATGGCTGTGCTGCCTGGCCAAGCAGCGGGGCCCCCCCGGTCACCAGGCACCCACCTTTCTCATGGGTGGTGTAGTTCCTGCCCGGGCTCCACTCGCTCCAGTAGCCCCGTGCCAAGCTCCGCCGGCACCGCATCTGGAAGCGGTACTGCGTGCCGAAGAGGAAGCCGCAGCACTGCGTGGTGCCAGCGTGGCCGACGATGTTGGTGACCTGGTGGCAGCCACAGAAAGAGCTGTGGCAGCTCCTGCCTTGGGCACAGAGCGGCTGTGGAGCAGAGGGGAGGTCCTGGCTCCGGTCGCTCACCCGCCCTGGTCCTGCTGCCCCCAGCAGCACTCACCAGAGCCCATGCGGTGTCCTGGGGTGTCCGGTAACGCAGCTCGCACTGCAGCTCCATGTGCGCATTGCTCCGGGCCACGTCCCAGGTCAGGGCGATGCAGTCGGTCTGGAAGGGGATGGACTGGATGCTCCGCAGGGCTGGGGGGTCCAGCTTGGCTGGAGGAACAGCAGAGGAGTGAGCTGCAGACACTGGGACCATGGCCTTGCGTGTGGCCGTTGTTAATGGCACGAGCTACAGCCTTGGTGCTGGCCTGCCCAAGGTGAGGGATGGGGAGAAACCACCCCAAAATCTTCAGGAGGATGGCTCACAGCAGGCGATCTGCCCCTGCCCAGGACACGGGGTGATGCTGGGGAGCACAGCACTGCCCCTGCTCTGCAGCCTTAATGCCTACACAGGAAAAACAGACCCTGTGGGACCCAGGCTCTGGTCCACAGCCATGAAATCTGCACATTTGGGTCTGCCCCGGGCCAAGAGGCCAGCAGAGCCATGGGAGGGTTCAGCTGGTTCAGGGGCAGCCCTTGCCCAGGTCCAGAGCAGGGAGGATGGTTCGCATCGCCTGGGAAGGTTCCTTTTATGAATAGTTTATAGGAGCCGATGCATTATTAATAGACCTCCTGAATGAATGGGTAATCAATTGTGGGAGAGAGTTGTAGAGCGCAGCAGGTCAACCGATGGCTCGGAACCCGCCAGCACACGCTGCTCGCTCTGTAATGCAGCTTTGGCACCTACTCATCCCGGCAAGCCATTCAGCATGGGATCCTGCCCATAAAGGCGACCTGAGAGCCCGATGTGTTTAATGACACTCCAATACCCCTGTCTCGGCGCTGATGAGCTCCCCTGACCTGTGCCGGGGCGGCTGGGGCTGTCACTCACCGACATCCATGGGGTCCATGCGGAGATGCTCCGACTCGGCCGTGCCCAGGGCGTTGGTGGCGGCCACCCAGATCTCCATGTGCCGGTAGAGCTGGAGCAGCCGGCGCGGCACCGTGCAGCGGCTGCGGCCGCCTTGCGGGGTGCACCCCGTGACTGCCGGGGCTCTGCTCCTGCCGCAGCGAGAGGAGAGGGCTCGGGGATGAGGCCTTGCCGTGGGGTGAGGGACCAGGCGCTGGGGACGTGTCACCCCGAGGCTCACCCGGCGCACTTCAGCGCGATGCTGGTGGGGAGGTGGCTGTCAGCCCCCGGCTCCCACTGGCACGTCAGCCCGTAGTCACTGAGGGTCAGGATGCAGCTGAGGTTGGAGGGCTTTGAGGGTGGATCTGGGAGAGAGGGGCCGGGAAAGAGCCTGAGCAAAGCACCCATCTGGGGACGCAGCCCCCTCTGTGCCCGGCACTGCCGCAGCACTGCTCCCCACACCTCCCCCGGCACAGCCCCAAAACAGCCCCCATCAGCATCAGCGCCCGGTGCTGCTCCTGCCCCAGCAGCTCTGCCCCGCTCACTCACAGCCCGCCCTGATCTCGGCCATGCCAACGCGCTGCTTGGTCCCGTTCCACTCCACCCAGCACCACAGCTTGGCCTGCGTGCGGTTGAACTGGGGCAGGGTGAGGTTGGACACCTCCGTGTCCCCTGGG